AAATAAGATCCACTTCTTATTTGTGGAAGGGCGAAATGGGCGTTGACTATTAGACGCCTTCATTATAGCCATCCTTGTCTATCACATGGATTTCTATGGCTTACTTTATCGCTCTCACGTAACTTCAGATAGACCATCGGTACTTTCCTACCCTGTATAAGAATAAAAGAGGAAAGTACTTTCGACAGAATGTTAATCATTAAATCTACATGTTAGATTATGAGTACCTCTAATATCGTATCTAAAGGAGAAATATTTATGAAACTTTCTCTGAACTTTGAATTTTGAATAAGTGACTTACATACATATATTGGGTTGCAAAGGTGGCAAAGGTGCTTAAGCTTCAACCTGACAAATGCATTATACAATAAAAAGCCTGTGTACACTCCTTTAAAATGTTTAGCAGTTCTTATAATGAAACCAAGACCTTTATTAACGTTAGATATAACGTAGTTCATTTCGTATTCCCATTTCACCCAAAATAGGTATACTCGCAAACAATAGGCTTAATTTTTCGTATATATGTCATAATACATTTTATTATGTTCAGTGACAGTTTATTATTATATTATAAGTACAAAACAGTCATCAACAGATGTTAAACAGCTAAAATTAAACATGCAATGCAATGCAAGCAATGCTTAAACATTAAACAGCTGAAGTTAAACAGCTTAAAATCGTTGGCATGTAAGAGAACATTAGAATTAATGAAAATAATAGCGGACCAAGAAATGAACCCTGAGGTACTGAACTCCAAATGATCTTACCTACGTAAGATTTTAAAAAATGTATGGGCATACCAATTACGAAGAAAGATCCCTTGATACAACCTGTCAAAGGCTTTTAGATTAAATCAACTTGTCCACAAGTATCTAATATCATAGCATGTGTAGGTAATTATCGCTATTTGTCATGACTTCGAGTTATTTTTGAAATAATGATGATAATAATTCACACTTACCTACGCTACTGCTAATTTTACGTCATAATCATACTTTTATTTAATAAAGAAACATTAATAATTGAAATATAAGCTAGATGTATTAAAAATAAGAAAATAATAAAGTAAAAAAGAGGGTAATTAAATACTATGAAAATATTAACAATAACCTCAATTAACTGAAATAATTGGTATCTTTTAAATAATTCAAGCTGTTAGTTATTTTTCTTAAGAAATTGCCTATTACGATTTTCTGATAGTTTTTCGACACAGTAGTCGATAAAATTGACTTAAAAACAAAAAATACAAATGGTAATACTCCAAGATAAAAAAAATTGAAAATCGACCCATACGTTCTAAAATATAGTATAGCTGCTTAAAGTGAAAAACTATATGTACGATATAAATCAAGGCGGATCTGTCGAAATATCCCACTTCTTGGATGTAAGAGGGGAGGACAAGCTAATTTTTGCTGGAATACCTTCAGTGCAACTCTCACAATAAAAGTGTAGATCCCTAGATCTGGGCGAGGTCCGGAACATTTTCAAAATTGCAAATATGTTTAAAAAATTAAAAAACAATACTTATTTTATCTTAGTTTTTTACTTATATCTTGGAACCTATGCATTTTGGAAAAATATTGAAATGGAAAAAAAGTTTTATAATTGAATTTTGCACAATACCTATACTGAAAGTTAAAAATGTTTAAATTTATTACCGATGTTGCAAAATAGCAATAATTGATGAAAAAAAGGCGAAATAATCAAGTTTTTTGGATAATTTTTTTGAAATATTTTAATTGCTTCGAGGGCATTCTAATTTTGGTAAAAAAAACTGTAGACTATAATAAAGCAACATACCAAATTTCATTAAAATAGGTTCGATAGTTTTCGCAAAATAATTTTTTGAAAAAAATTTCGAATAAAAAATTTTCGAATTTTCAAAAAGTTGCACAGCCTCAAATAAAGCATCTAGACATTTGAAAAAAATTTTACATATAAAACATCGCTTATCCTTTCAAATAGTTTTTGAAAAATTTAAATCGGTTGATTAGGACGGCCACAGTAAATTGTTTAAATCTCTTTTTTATTTTTAATCAATTAGATTGCATTTATCAATTTGCAATTTAGTTTTTTTCAAAAATTATAATTTTAAAGTACTCGGAAAAACGCTTCTTTTTTTTAAAAAAAGTAAAATTCTGTTTATTGGTTCTTGAGATATAAGCGGTCAAAGTTTATCGGCATTTACCGTTAATTTATAAACAAATTAGCAATAATCTTTGATGCAGTGGCTTAGTTTTTCCGAGTTCTAAGCTGGAAAAAATTTTCATATCCATAAGTTATCGGCAACATAGATAAAACAGTGGAAAAGCTGTCGCTCGCACGCGCGAAAAGTGACTCAAAACACGAAAAGTGGGGGAGGGGGCTTTCGCTCCGAGACTGAATTCGGAGGTTCAAAATGCGAAGGTGCAAAAAAAATTGCTTTATCTCGGCTTCTAATGGACCTATTTCGAACTTTTTTTTTAGTCCGATGTCTCGCGAGCCACGGAATTCGAATATCGTAATACCAACTGTCTAATTTGCACATATTTTGTTATAAACAAAGTTTATTATACTGTATATTTTACCCTGTGCTATTGCATTTTCTAATGAAAACAGTTTTTTACGTATGTACCGGGTGATTCAGTTTGATATTCGCGGCCCTCTATCTCTTTTATTTTAACAAATAGCTATAACAAACCCTATATATTTTTAAATCGCCGCTCAAACTCTATCAAATGACATTATCAGATCGTCTCCATGGTAACATATGTCAAAATTGCTATAGTCAACTGTTTTTGTTCAAATGGCACACTATATATTTTTTTATCGATTCTGAAAGATATTTTTTTTCTGCGTTCAGCTGTATAAGTATATAAGTCTATAGTTTCATTAGAAATATTGCTAGAAAAACAACAAAAAAGATGAACCCTGCTTTCAGTAGCTTTATTCAGAAAAATGATAGCCAGCTGCGGAAACAACTGAATTTTGACGTTTCTAAATAACGGTTTGTCAAAATAATTGACATTTTGTGCCTACCTATTCTATCTATACTTATTATAACATGAATACTTACAGTAATCAAGAAATACTAGATATGATTTTAATTTATGGAGAGCGCCGAAAGAACGCTAAAGCTGCCAGCTATTTATACCAACATCGTTTTTCTCAGAGACAACTTCCATCAGATAAAATTTTCGGAAAGTTAGACAGGAATTTGGCGGCAGATGAAAGTTTTTAAAAGAAAAGAAGAGTTTTTAAACCCAGAAAGGCAAGAGATGAAGAACGTTCGATGAAGATATTGTATAGATTTCTTTCTTTGGCCTTACCTAAATGATATTGACGACCTTAAAAGCAAAATAAGAGTAGAATGTCGGAGATTAAATGAAGAAACACTAGAATGTGTTTGTAGAGAGTGATAAACAGAGCTATTCTGTGTTTGGAAGCAAATGGAGGTCATTTTGAACATTTGAATAAGTATTGTTTTAAATTGTTATATTATTATCGTATTAATAATAAAATATGTTACTTTAAAAAACACAGTAGCTTGTTTCCATAGCTCGCTATCATTTTTCAGAATAAAGGTACGAAAAGTAGGGTTCATCTTTTTTGCTGTTTTTCTAGCAATATTTCTAATGGAACTATAGACTTCCTTACATAGCTCAACGCAGAAAAAAAATGTCTTCCAGAATCGATAAAAAAATATATAGTGTGCCATTTGAACAAAAACAGTTGACTATAGCAATTTTGACATATGTTACCATGGAGACGATCTAATAATGTCATTTGATAGAGTTTGAGCGGCGATTTAAAAATATATAGGGTTTGTTATAGCTATCTGTTAAAATAAAAGAGATACAGGGCCGCGAATACCAAACTGAATCACCCGGTATATCAACACTCTGAATATGAATGTATTTAATTATAATTATTACAATTATTTAAATAATTTTTGTTTAAACAAATTAAAAAAAATTTTTAAACATTTTTGCAGTTTTGAAAATGTTCCGGACCTCGCCCAGATCTACACTTTTGTTATGTGAGTTATACTGAAGGTAATCCAGAAAAAAATTGCTTGCCCCCTCTCACATCCACCTCAAAACAGATCCGCCCTGATCTAATATGTATTATATGACAGTATAATTATTACCAGATTAAATGTGCGTTAATGTACATAATTCGCATAACAGATTTGTACCTGTAATAATAGGCAAATCTGGATGATTTAGTGACAGAAGAGTTAATCTATTCAATGGAATTGTTTAAAATACAAAGAGTAGCTAAAATCTTAAAAGATAAAACACATTTATAAACAAAATCGATTTCTAAATATTGAGTGTAACAGTACTCACTCACAGTAACTGCTATTATGTGGAAATGTTATTGGAAATCCATTATAGTAATTACATATAAATATTTGATTAATACGAGTATGTCAAACTGTTAAGTATCAATATTTCTAGCTCTAGAAACAACTTGAAATGACTTGATTGTGTCGGTAATTAGAGAAACTGTTTCTTGTCGTTATACTTACTTATAGAAGTGGCAACATTTTTGATATCTCCTTCTGTTATAACAACTTTGACAGCATCATCCATTGATAGTTCCCCATTGCTACTATAAGAAGCCGAATAATAGACTTCTGAAAACGTAATTACTTCCTCATTAGCTAAAGGTAAAGATATAATCAAAGTCGATTTTCCTTTATTTATGTTATCATCTTCAGTTGCAGTTAATGTCAATACAAGCTCCCTTGTAGAGCTGATGATGTCACTTTCTAGAGGATTAATGACGCTGATATCCCACTCATTTGTAGACGTAACTTTAACTTCAAAGTTACTTTGATAAGCTGCAATATGTTGGCATTGTTATGAAATTAATTGTGCACAAGTGTGTGTTACACGTGTTTGAGGATATAGTTTTGTGTTGGCTGTGTATGATGATGTGTTATGTGTACTGTGTAGTGTTTTCTATTCAGGTGTTCATGTGTAGTTCCTCTATACTTACAGTCTAAAGCGACTTGAATTTTTTCAAGATCTGCCTTGTTTGTCACAGTTATTGTCTCATCTAATACAATTTTCACTTTACTGTCCTCTTCTACATACTGAGCGATGTAGTGAGGCTGACCAAATTCAGGTGCCAATTTGACTTCTTCTAAAGGCAAATGCAACACAAGAGCTGCTTGACTGAATGCGCTGCTTCCGGTTTCGGTAGCTGTTAAAGTTAGTATAAGATCTGAACTGTCTTTAAAGGCATCATCGCTAAGTGGTGACTTAACATTCAGTTTAAATTGTGAACTGCTAGTGTCATAAACGACTTCCAAATAGTTCTTGTAACCTGTAAAACATAAAAAGTAATGTCTACTCCGACATCGTTAAAGTTTAGACTTACTGTCGTCGAATGCTATAGTTATGGCGGTTAAGTCTTCTTTGTTTGTAATTGCAATGATGTCTTCTAGCGTTACGGATGGTTCATCACCCACTGTATATATGCCGTCGTAGTATATACTTGAGAATTTAGGTGCGTCGTCGGTATTTGCCACAGGTAACCTGATAAGTAAAACGGCTTGTCCATATTCATCGTTATCCGACTCTGTGGCGGTGAGTGCCATGACCAAGTCAATCTTTCTGTTCAGAGTGGTCTGGTCCAGATTATTTTTAACAGTCATTTGCCAAGAACCACTTGTTTCATCGTATGTCATTTCAAAATTATTACTGTAATCTGAAATAAATTAGTTAGCGGGGTGTGTGTGACTGTAACCGGTTCCACTTACTGTCTAGTCCTATGGAAATAGCGTCTAAATTCTCTCGGTTGGTTATAATCACAGATGAGTCAAAGGCAACTGTTGCTTTTCCATCAGATATTTTATATATAGCTGTGTAATAGGTTTGTGAAAACTTTGGTGCGTTATCAGTATTAAGGGAGGGCAAAGCCAGGTCTATTGCAGCGTGATCTGTTAGAGAGTTTTGGGGATTGGTTGCTGTTAAAGCAACTACTATGTCAGTTTTTTGGGTTAGTATGTCGTTAGGTAACTGTTTAGTTACCTTCACAACCCAAGATTCACTTTCGCTGTCATACTCGATGCTGAAGTAGTCGCCGTAGTCTAAAATCAGAAGTTGATGAATTCGACCAATACGAGTTACCATCGTTCTGTCAGACGAAATGTAGTGCAGAGCTAAGTCACTTACTTTTGTTTAAAAGCTCGGCTTTAATATACAGAGTGAATCAAATTAGATGGAAATTTAAGCCATCTTAGGATTTATTCAAACAAAAAATTAATGAAACTGCATCAAGCTCCACTTTCAAGACGAGTTCAAGTAGCAGATAAAGAACTCGATACTTTCGAAACATAAGGCGATATTTATTTATGTGATATTTTAACTTACTTGCTAGATATGGTTTTGATTTTTATAAAATAACATAACTTAAAATCACAAAACTGAATTTTTTCAGTGGGTAGCCGAAATTGTCAAGCAAACAAATATGGCCTGTAAATCGAAAAGAAATAAAGGTATAAAATTTCTCATTTGATTGCTTGATAGATGAATTTGTCTTATATCGAGTTCGAGAATTTGTTATCAGTTTTTATTCATATACGGGCTTACGCCCGTGTAAAATATTGAGGTGATGCTCATTGAAAATTAAGGGGTTAAAAGGAAACACCGCTTAAAAAAGTTAAATTATTTACAAATTTACTGGATAATTGCAAGGAGCAGAAGTAACCACCGTCTCTACAAGTAATTTCCTGTACATTTTTTTCTGTCACCAATATGATGATTTACAAATGTGTTTTTTACAGATCAACTTATTTGTTATAATTGTTAGAAATTGTTAGGTTTTATAATAAGAACATGCAATGACTTGAAAAGTCATGAAAAGTCGATGAAATCCTTGTATTATGCTTATATTTACAGTAGGATTTTTGCGAGTGTTATCTGGAACCCCACTTATAACATATTATAGAATTAGATTAGAAAGATTGCAAAACAGATTCGCCCGTTACTTAAATTTTAGAATAAATGACATCTATAATGTTCCTAATATTACAGTGACAAAAAAAAACATTTAAATTAATTACCCTAGTGAACCGAAGATTTCATTCAGACATCATATTTTTGTTCAAATTATTAACAACTTGATGGATTGTCCTGAACTTCTACCTTTGTTAAACTTTCACGTTCCATCTATAAATACTACAAATAATTATTTATTCGGTATAAATTATAGTAGAACTAATGTAGGTATGAATAGCTGCAGAATAACGTCGTCCTTTAATAGTTATTTATCAAATAACAATGGAGGTGTTGATATACTATCATCATGAAATAAATGTGCGCATGTGTGCGTGTGCGTGTGTGGGTGTGCGTGTGGGGGTGCGTGTGGGTGTGCGTGTGCGTGCGTGCGTGCGTGCGGGTGCGTGTGTGTGCGTGCGTGCGCGCGCGCGCGCGCGCGCGAGTGTGTGTGTGTGTGTGTGTGTGTGTGTGTGTGTGTGGGTGCGTGCGTGCGTGCGTGTGTGTTTTATATAGTTGAACAGAAATTAAGAACATAGTACTAGTCTAAGAGCCGCATAGGAAAATTTTTCTAATCAATTTAGTCACCGTCAGAGTCTATGACTTAAATACTACCTAAAACCTAAAAGAAAACATTTGAGCACTATACCGTCACTTCTTCGTGGCACATGGGTTGTCAGCGGAAAATCAAAATTTCCAATTTTGAGCCGGGTAAATTATTTAAATAGAAATTGACGGCATTTCGACCCAAGACAGAAAAATAAGACGTAAAAATCTTATGCCGTACAAAAATAACGGTTCTGGAAAGAATAAAAAATTTTCATTTTCCAAATATTTTCACTAATGTAAAAATTATAGAAAATTGTACCTTATTTTAAATAAAGATATTTATTTGAAAGTTATATTTTACTATGCCGTACGAATGCACTAGCTTTAAGGGCTTTTACGTAGACTAAGGAAAATTATTAGACACCCTAAAATTAAAAAAATTTGAAAGCGCTATATAAAACTATACCTCAAGTCATTATGCCGTACATTTTTTTATGGCACATGAAGTCACAGTAGGGAAATGGATTTTCCGCTCAAGGAATGGATATTTTAGTGAAATGTTCCTGTACGGTATTTGTGCCCTTTTCGAATTCATTAAAAATTAGCTATTAAAAATTATTGCTGTATAAATATCGTGGCACTAAAGGGGAGAAGAGGCACCAAAGTTCCAAAAAAACTGCAATTTTTTTTTCCATGCAGTAGTTTTTAAAATGTGTACGCACATCTACAATTCAATTTGTTTGTTTTGCCAAAATTTATTTTTTATTTTTCAATTATACCGTATACCTTATACATTTTGAATCCGATGCAACAAATAAAATAAAATTGTTTTTGTTTTTAATAAGTATATAAAAACTTGCATTTGGCCATCTATCCCTATTCAGTTGGGTGAGTTAGCCAATGCCATTTGGGAGAGATGGCCTTATAATAAGTATAAATGGTATTAATATAAAAAAAATGTGACAATAAAAAATTTTATAATGAAAAAATAAATTGTTATTCAATATCTACTTATTATGCTTTTTTTAAACGCAATTTTGCCACAGTCTTGGCAAATGTTTAGGAAAGAAGAGCAATTTTCATGGAACCATCTTCATATAACCTCTTGCATATTTTCTTTCAAGCGTTTTTCTAGGAATACCATAATTTGTAGAAACCAACCAATATATTTCCGCTTATATGTTCACAATATCACCTATTATGCAATGGACATAAAAATTGTTAGCGGCACAATAATGTTTTTCTTCTCTTAGTGCTTAAATATCACTTTGACGCATATTAAAACACAGTGCTCGTATTCAGTTGTCACATATAATGCCATATAGGACATACAGTGCCATCTATCGAATGCTGAATTAAGTTTTGGCTGTTGGCCACCTCACCCTACCCTTTACTCTTTACCCTAATAATTTTTATCATAATTTTCTTTGAAAAATAATTTATTTGACGCTGATGATGCGATCACGATGAAGATTTCTGAAGTGAACTCGAAAGTAGAGATGAGGAGGACAAGGAGGAAGATTAAGTTTTCGTATGTATTAAGATCAACAAAAACAAAAAAAAGATAAGTAAAATATGAACGTTATTAATACTTCCTTCAAATATCAATTAAATGTTTTGGTAATTATTATAAATTTTTTGCATTGAAAAAGATAAAATCTAAAACATATATTGATTAACATAATTTACATTTTTATTGGTCTACTTGGAATTTACGAAACACTATCTCTTTTCATTTTATTGTTTATACAATTTATGCATATATTATTTGTATATTCCATGCAAATGTAACGGCAATATAATTCTTCATCATTACTTAACTCCCTTCATAATCTGCAATGAAAGCCGTACAGGAATTGTTAATTATTGAGTATAGTAAAATTGAGATTTTAAATTATTTAAATATTTTTTATAGCATTCGATGAATGTTCCATCAAAAATGTACGGCGATATAATTTTTATTATTTTATGGTGTTAATGTTATGGGGTAAATGCCGTACAGGAATATATAATTTCATAATGTAGTGAAAATGCCTTGGAAAATGCTACTAATTATGGAAAACTCTGAAATTAAAAATAGACGGCATCCACAATTTTGTTAATATTAACCCTTGAATAATTTAAAACAGTAATAAAATTGAAAATATATTGTACTATAGTAGCGTCAAATGGATTTTCCAAATTGCAATAATGATAAACAATTTTTTTTATTCACGGCCAATTGTTTTTTTCTGTGGTGCCAATAATTTTGTAATTTTGTATAAAGACTATAAAGTGGAATAACTTGCTTCCGAAATTTATGCCGTTCAAGAAATAATGATTTTTACCCAAAGAAAAATGGCGTTAACTTCAGAGCATTTACAATTATTATGTAATACACTTTTTTTAGCCAAATATTTTGTACGGCACTTATATTTTTCATTATTTTAGAGCATAAGTAAAACTTATAGAGCCAGTACATTCGTACGGCATAGTAAAATATAACTTTCAAATAAATATCTTTATTTAAAATTAGGCACGGCGTAGGTAGTTTTCTATAATTTTTACATTAGTGAAAATATTTTTTATTCTTTCCAGAACCGTTATTTTTTGTACGGCATAAGGTTTTTACGTCTTATTTTTTTAATACCTGTCTTGGGTCGAAATGCCGTCAATTTCTATTTAATTAATTTACCCGGCTCAAAATTGGAAAGTTTGATTTCCGCTGACAACACATGTACCACGGAGAATTAACGGCGTAGTGCTCAAATGTTTTCTTTTAGGTTGTAGGTAGTATTTAAGTTATAGACTCTTACGGTGCCTAAATTGATTAGACAAATTTTCCTATCCGGCTCTTAGTCCAGTACTGTGTTCTTTATTTTCTGTTCAACTACATTTTTTGTTTTTTATGCCATTGATAGATTAAAATATTTTCCATCATTTATTAACAAATTAGTGGAAACTATTGTGGGTTTATAACCTGTAGTATTTCTTAAACTATAAAATAAATAAATAAATTTGATCTCTCCTAATTTCATTTGTAAACGGAATATTAAGTTTTTGAACAAAAAAAATATTCTGATTATTAAAATGAAAATTTTGCAGTAAACCGTTGTCTTGTTAAATTATGAGAGGTGTTCATTTCATGGATAATGATTTTTTATAGTTTTTCGTTTATAATTAACAGTTCTATTTATTTTTATTCATTTCAATATACATATTCTTTATTGTAATAAAAATTCCACGCAACATATATTTTTTTTGCTCGAAAACTATTACATTTAATAAAAATAGAAGAAATTTGTGTCACATAAATTGAGCTATATAAAAAAAATAATTGACCATATTAGAGACAGGAAAAACTTACTTTGAGATGGTTAATTCTACACCTTGTTACCTTGTAAATGGCATTTAGGAAAATGTACGTAATTTCAATCATAATAAACACTAAATTCTTTCTCTCTCCTATTAAAGGTTAATAAATCCTCAAGTAGGGGACGGAGAGATTTGTTTTATATGAAAAAATAATTTCCAACAAGGAATAACTTCCTTAATTTTTTCGCGCTTATTTTTTATTTACACTCTATATAGACTTGACTCATTCTGTACATAAGAAAAATATGATATAATATATTTCCTTTCAAGAAGATTGAATTCGTCGATAAAAATATTTGTAGTAGTTATACTTCGTCAACGATAACTTGATTAAGTTAATTAATACAGAACCAAATCGTATGAAAAAACGATAGCGAAGCAAGCACTGCCCTTTTACTTTCTCGATACTTACTATCTATGGATAAAGTAATGCCGGCAATATCATCTTGGTTTGTTATAGTTATAGGAGTGCTAAAAACGACATTTGTCTCACTGCCAGTGGACACGTAATTAGCTGTATAGTACGTTTTCGAAAATATAGGCGCTACGTCATTCTCAGGAAGCCTCAGGACCAACGCTGAGTAACCCTCTTTGCCGGTGTCACTTTCTGTCGCGGTCAAGGTCATAACAAGTTCAAAGGCACTAGTCAATACAGAGCTATCGAGGACTTGCTTAACTTTTATGATCCACCTTTCATTTTCTAGTTTAATTTCAAAGTGGTCGGTGAAATCTATAAACATTCAAGTACAGTATTGTTAATTATATAAATACGGGCAGTCACTTACTGTCCAGTTTTATGGTTAATTTGCTGGAATCTTCCACGTTGTCAAACGCGATTGGGGTGTTGAATTCAATTACGCCTGTGTACTTTTCGGGGTAATCAGCTAAGTAGTATGCTTCTGAAAATACAGGACCGGATTCCGAATCAGTCGTAGGTAGTTCTATTACTAGAGCTGAATATCCCTTTATGTCGTTGTCGGTTTCGGAGGCAGTCATCGTCATGACAAGTTCTTTGTTCTTACTTAGAATTTCGTCTCCTAAGCTTTTCTGTATATTTAATATCCATTTTTCCGACGTGTAACTTACTTTGAAATATTCCTCATAATCTACAATTGTCATTTGTAAATGCGATATTACAGTTTAATGTACGTACATGATTTAAATTACATCTATGAAACTGAAACGTACGCACTGCTCTTTCAGTTTATGTTTATATTACATTATTAATTTCATTTTTTGTCAAACATTTTAATTACAATTATTCAATTATTTGTATAAAAGGTGTTTTAATTTCATATACATTTCTTTATTAAATATAAAGAAATGTCACCATTAATTAACTTTGATAAAAAAAATAGTTCACTACTTTGTAAATTGTTTTATACTTACTGTCTAAACTAATATCTATTGTACTGGGATCATCTATGTTGGTAAAGCTAATCTCATTTTCGAATTCAACCGTTTTAACGCCGTTGTCCGTATATTTTGCCAAATAATAAGCATCGGAAAATTCTGGAGCTAAATTATCAGTAGAAGACGGTAATTTTATTACAAGTGCTGAACGAGCTTCTTTGCCATTTGCACTTGCGGTTAATGTTATGACTATTTCTGTGTTCTTTTGTAAAATTGCATCATCGAGACCTTTTTCTATAGTTACATGCCAGCTATCATCGTAATTTGCGGCAAAATTATCACCGTAATCTGAAAATAAAATAGAAACTCGTGTATTCGTTCTCGACCCTGTTACCCGTGGGGACTTACTGTCAAAAGTTATGGTTACTGAAGAAGGATCATCAACATTTTCAAAACTAATGGTATTCTCGAATTTTAGTTCGCCCGTGCCGCTTTCTGGGTAATCCGCCAAGTAATAGACTTCTGAAAATTCAAGTCCTGTTTCAACTGCGGCACTTGGCAGTTTGATGACCAACGCAGAAGATCCCTTTTTGCCACTTCCGTCTGTTGCAGTCATTGTGATAACTAATTCCGTTTCTGTTTGAAGAGTAGTGTCATCCAGAGCATTTTTTATGTTCAGATACCATTTAGATTTAGCCGTATCGTATACAACGTCAAAATTACTAACGTAGTCTGAAAACCGCATTTTTAGATTGTGTGTTATAAATACTCTATGATTTCTGGCGAATGCCTACTTACTGTCGAGTGCTATGTTTAGGGTGGATAGATCATCAACGTTTGAAAATTCTATAGGCTCGCCGAAATCGACTGAACCACTTCCTTTTTCGGGGTAGTCGGCTAAATAGAACGCGTTCGAAAATTGGGGCCCTATTGTGTTCTCTTGAGACGGTAGTTTCAGCACTAAAGCTGAGTACCCTTCATTTTTGAAATCCGGGTCGGTTGCAGTTAAAGTAATAAGAAGTTCTGTTTTTTCCTTTACATCATCATCAAGAACACTTTTGACATGTATGTACCATTTCCCATCGCCATATTTGACTTCGAAATTTTCCGAATTCTCTAAAAATATCATTTGCAGTATTACTGGTTTTGCTCTGAATTTTCCCCAAGCTTATCGCATGTGTTATACTTACTATCCAATGTTATTGTCACGGAGCTTTGATCTTCGACATTTGTGATTTTAATCGGATTTTCAAATTCTATTATTTTCGTATCGTCCTCTACGTACTCAGCTGTATAATATGCATCGGAAAATATAAGGGTGTCATCATTGGAGGCTGTCGGTAACCGTAAAACAAGCGCGGATGTGCCAGGGTTTACGCCTTCGGATTCGGATTCGGTTGCGGTCAGAGTTATAACTATTTCCGGATCTTTATGTAGCAGGCTATCTTCGAGGCTTTTTAATATTTTAATGTACCACCTATCCGAATCGTACAAAATTTCGAAATAAGCCGCGTAAGTTGCTAAAAATAGAGACCACAGAGCGTTAGATACTTATATGTAGGATGTTACAAAAAACCATCATCCACAGATTATCTGGGCAAACATAATAAGACTTTTCCTGACTTTTCCTTTTATTTAAAAGAATTTGAGAGAAGTTAGTTATTTAGTAAACAGTTATTCTTGACGGCTGGTAGGTATTATTCGAGTATTATAATTAAATCGATACATCATTATTAACAATTTTAAGCATGTACGAATTATTAGCGATTAGTGTGTGTCGAAAACAGCTAAGAATCTTACGGAAATAAATGGACAGTACAAAAGAATGATCGAGCTAGTCTGAATATTTCATAATGCTTTTATAAGAGCAAAACTGTCACTTTTGCCACGACTAGACTATCATAATATTTTATCAAGGAATGTATTATATTCTTTTCTATAGCAAATTTTAAAAACATTAGTTTAGTTACGGTTACTAAATTGAGTCTCTTTTTAAAACATCTCTTGGTACCTAGTCGAAATTTACTAGGGAGAATGCATGGCAACGAAATAAATAACTATTGTTTTATTCTTCTCACCCAATTTTGCTGTGTTGACATGTTCTGCGCGAAATACAAGTAGAAATGTGGGAAGAAAAACTTCCTTGTGACATTTTAAAGTAACTAATACGGCTGATGAGTGCGCTCCATTAAATAACTTTTCATAATGTTTTCAAATATAGTAAACGGATACACTGCTAAAGAAATTAACTGACGCTTGCAAACCTAAATATCGAATGAAGGTGAAATTTCTATAAATATCTACTTCAATAATTTTAGTAGTTTAGATTTTACAATACAATAAAGTATACAAATTAGAAACTTCTAATCATAAAAAATCTGTCATTATTATCTCACTCAATGACACCAAAACTAAGCAAGATCGGTCGTTTTACTGACAAAAACTGACTGAGAAAAGATGTGGATTGAATGTGGATATTATCAGAAAATACTCTAATTTACTTCCAAAAAACGTAGCTCACCAGAAGTTACCATCTAATATGTGGAAATAAATAACTTGTACAATATTCTTAAGAAAATAGTCAATTGTTAAAATCTGAAATGTATACCGGCCATTGCTTCCGCCGATCTGAAGAAAACACTCAGTGATGAAACAGAACAGTCTTATAGTTCTACGTCTGTACGGTTATTACAAGGAAAAAATCTGTTAATTGTACGAATAAAGTTCATATTACTTCAAATGAAATGTAAATGTTGATTTGCTTTGTATAAAGCACGCTTTAGAATTTGCTATAGAAAAAAAATATGTTTATTTGTCGTCTTTTAAGATACTATTCTATTGAAGTTTTGCTCAATGTTTGTGTAATTTTGATTAAAAAATCTAAGCGCGAACTATGATAATTCAGTGATATTGCTTTTTATTGCAATATTTGTATTTACTTTATACTTAAATCGACTATGCCAAGAATTTTGGTAAAATATTCAATTTACTTTTTGTGCTTTAAAATTAGATTTATTTAAAATCGATATAATAAGAGAGCCTTCTGATATTGGAACACAAACATAATAAATCAATAAAAAATTTCAAGATTTCAAAGTGTCAACTATCTCCACGAATGAAGACTTGGGTTTTATTAATGAAAGAGAATCGAATTTACTGGACAATTTATGGTTTTAGTCTTCCGTAACTTATTTTCACAATTGTCAAACTGAAACCAAATATTTTGTGCTAAAAAATATAAATAACAAAAGAAAATCAAATTATTAATTTATTTAATTCGACTATTAAGTCGTTAAGCACCCAATAATATTTTTGTTAAGGTTAGTTTGTCACTTAAGAAAAACTGGGAATTTAGTAAACCGTAAGCAAAACCTTACTGAATTTTATTTTTATTTATTTACTGCAAAAATTGTACAAGAAGGAAATACTTGCTTCAAAATATAATACATTGAACCATATGCGTGTGCAAAAAAAAACAGGTGGACAATGAGTGATACAACCCCTTTTCCTCCGTGCATGCTTTGATTTTGTTTCATCAAAATTGCAATGTTGAAATAAAAGTGCAGTTTCTACTGAATACCTTACAAAATAGCAGCTATTTGTAAAAACTTTTTTTAAACTTTTAATTTAGACACCAGTATACTAAAGAAAGGAAAGTCTCATTATATTTGGTTAAAGGCTTGACCAACTTTTTTGTAAAACCCTGTATTAAAAAACCTTAATCATCAACTTAATAGTAAAAATTATATTTTCGTAGTAACTCATCTATCAAACCTACTCTTATCGTTAGTTTTAATTATACATAGTATCAAGTTTTACTTACTATCCAAGCTTATCGTAACACCATTTTGATCATCTACGTTTGAAATCTCGAGAGGACTGAGGAATTCAATCACTGCAGTACCCTTTTCAGGATACTCTGCCAAGTAATAGGCCGCAGAAAAGCTTAGAGATGTGCTATCGGTTCCTGTAGGTAATTTTATAACCAGAGCGGACTCTGCTTTATAACTGTTTTCTGATTCTGTCGCGATTAAAGCCATAACAAGTTCGGTATTTTTTTGCAAAACAGTCTCGTCCAGACTTTTTTTTATTTGTATGTACCACTTACTTTCATCTTGTTTAATTTCAAAGTAGTCTCCATAATCTGAAATGAAGTGGAATATACAACTTCGATTATTAATCTGTGTGTGTATAGTGTACCCATTGCATTCGAGTTATTTATTGGTATGGAAGACGGTGTAGATTCCGGTCGTTTCAAGTTATGAGTAAAATGAAGTGCAAAGTGTGAATGTATAATGTCCTTTACGTTGTTCTTATGTAATAAGTGTGAAATATACGTACAAAAGAAGAGAACTTACTGTCTAATTGGATTTGTATATCTGATTTGTCCTCAGAATTCAAAAATTCTATTGGAATTTCGAATTCAATATTAGCCTTGCCATCTTCTGGATAATTTGCTAAATAGTAAGGCTCTGAGAATCTTAAGGCTCTTCCATCTGCAGGAATAGGCAACTGCATAACTAAAGCGCATTTTCCTTCGTTTCCACTATTAGTATTTTTTGCAGTTAAAGTCATCAGTAGTTCTTCGTTGTCAGTTAACACGCTATTTTCAAGACTCTGTTTAATGTTGATGTACCACTTCCCTGAGTCGTATTTAACTTCGAAATTTTCGGCATATGCTGCAATTTGATTATTACTGTTGATTAATTTGGCATGATAGTTTGTGGGGTTACAGAAACAATTATCGTTTAAAGTGTAATGTTGGTACGTATGGATATTTTTACTTACTGTCCAAGCTTATTGATACTTCTGTTGGATCATCAATATTGTCAAGGACAATTGATGGTTCGAAATCGATTAAACCTGAACCGGTTTCAGGGTAAGTTGCAACGTAAAATGATTTCTCGAATTTTAGGGACGATGTTTCCTCGGTTGAAGGTAGCTGCAGAACTAGAACGGATTCTCCCGCTGTTTCACTTCCATCCTCTGTCGCTGCTAGAGTTATAACGAGTTCTGTGTTTTCTTGTAAAACAGAGTCTGTAAGGCTTTCCAGTATATTTATATACCACCTATCTGAATACTTTACTTCAAAATTGGTTGTATAACCTGCAAGAGTGATCGTTAAGAGTTTAAGGTTTTGTTGTATGAAATATTTTAATTTACATTTCATACGTTATATTTGTTCAGTTGTGTTGAGGGGGGGATTCTTAATCAAACTAGGTGTAAATAATGCATGTGTTGCGTGGTTTTGCATTCATGAACAAAAGTCGCCGTTGTATAACTGTAGTTACTGATATTGTGCAACTATTTACTGTTTGAGTTGCGTGTTGATTTTGTAATGCAATACTTACTATCCAAAGTTATCGTCACACTTTTCGGATCATTCACGTTAGTGAATTGTATTGGATCTTCAAACTCTATCGTGCCAGAACCTAGCTCTGGGTATTGTGCTATGTAATATACCTTTGAAAATGCAGGAGCTTCTTCGTCGCTATCACGTACCAATTTCAACACTAGAGCCGCTTGACCATTGTCCGTGTTATCAGATGTAGAAGCAGTAAGAGTTATAATAAGCTCTTTATTTTTTGTTAAAGTGTCGTCATCCAAACTCTTTTTTATGTTGATATACCATTTGTTTGAATCATACTTAATTTCGAAATTTTCGTCATATTTTGAAAATTTAATATTTTGGATTAAAACAGATTTTATAAATAGCGTTATGTGGTAATGTGACTATGTGTAATATCGTAGGTATATCTGATATAAATGTTAAAATATATATCATATCCTGTTGTATTTTGAAGTTGTCGCTGGCTTGTATAGGATTATTGTATTTTCGTTGTTAGTCGCCTATTTGTAAAAACTACTTACTGTCTAAAGCAATTGCTACATCTTCTGGATTGTCAATGTTGGAAAGCTCAATGGAAGGCTTAAAATCAATAGTTCCAACACCATCCTCTGGATAATCTGCTGAGTAATATGCTTTTGAAAATTTAGGTCCAGCTTCAGTGTTTACCGTTGGGAGTTTTAGAACTAAAGCAGTTTCTCCAGTATCTTCTGTCCCTGTTTGGCTTGCTATTAATGTTATAACTAGTTCAGACTTTGCCTTTAAAATGGCATCGTCCAGGCCCTTCTTTATATTTATAACCCACTTGTCATTATCGTACTTAATTTCAAAATTGTCTGCGTAATCTGAAATAATACATTTGAAAAATATTGAAAACGAAATACACAAAGGTACATCTAGGACAGTAAATGTAATTCGTTCGGTTTTGGTTGGCATTAGTTTTATGGTTAATACATTGAGTTGTTGTATTCTGAATATTGTGATCTAGATGTTGTACAATTGGTTTTGTTAAATTGGAACGTTGAAATTGTATAATTTGTAAAAGGAATTATGGGCAAAACCACAATATTGGTCTCCATTTCTCCATTTCTCCATGTGAGACGTGTTAAACTGATTGGTTGTAGTGATGAATGTATATCGCAGGTACATTATTTGTGTAGTGTATATGTGATATTGCAGCTGATTAATGTTTGGTGTATGTTGATGAATTCACTGTATCATAGTTGTCGGATGTTAGCTTGTAAACCTTACTTACTGTCTAAAGTAATAATTATATCCTCTGGATTGTCGACGTTAGAAAATTCAAGGGAAGGCTTAAAATCAATAGTACCAACACTATCTTCTGGATAATCTGCTGTGTAATATGCTTTTGAAAATTTAGGTCCAGCTTCACTGTTTACCTTTGGCAATTCTAGAACTAAAGCGGTTTCTCCAGTATCTTCTGTTCCTGATTGGCTTGCTGTTAACGTTATGACTAGTTCAGAGTGTGCCTTTAAAATGGCATCATCCAGGCCCTTCTTTATATTTATAACCCACTTGTCATTATCGTACTTAATTTCAAAATTGTCTGCGTAATCTGAAATAATACATTGGAGGAAGTTTGAAAATGAAATATATTAATATACATCTAGGACAGTAAATTTAATTCGTTCGGTTTTGGCTGGCATTAGTTTTATGGTTAATACATTGAGTTGTTGTCTTCTGAATATTGTGATCTAGATGTTGTACAATTGGTTTTGTTAAATTGGAACGTTGAAATTGTATAATTTGTAAAAGAAATTATGGGCAAAGCCACAATATTGGTCTCCATTTCTCCATTTCTCCATGTGAGACGTGTTAAACTGATTGGTTGTAGTGATGAATGTATATCGCAGGTACATTATTTGTGTAGTGTATATGTGATATTGCAGCTGATTAATGTTTGGTGTATGTTGATGAATTCACTGTATCATAGTTGTCGGATGTTAGCTTGTAAACCTTACTTACTGTCTAAAGTAATAATTATATCCTCTGGATTGTCGACGTTAGAAAATTCAAGGGAAGGCTTAAAATCAATAGTACCAACACTATCTTCTGGATAATCTGCTGTGTAATATGCTTTTGAAAATTTAGGTCCAGCTTCACTGTTTACCTTTGGCAATTCTAGAACTAAAGCGGTTTCTCCAGTATCTTCTGTTCCTGATTGGCTTGCTGTTAACGTTATGACTAGTTCAGAGTGTGCCTTTAAAATGGCATCATCCAGGCCCTTCTTTATATTTATAACCCACTTGTCATTATCGTACTTAATTTCAAAATTGTCTGCGTAATCTGAAATAATACATTGGAGGAAGTTTGAAAATGAAATATATTAATATACATCTAGGACAGTAAATTTAATTCGTTCGGTTTTGGCTGGCATTAGTTTTATGGTTAATACATTGAGTTGTTGTCTTCTGAATATTGTGATCTAGATGTTGTACAATTGGTTTTGTTAAATTGGAACGTTGAAATTGTATAATTTGTAAAAGAAATTATGGGCAAAGCCACAATATTGGTCTCCATTTCTCCATTTCTCCATGTGAGACGTGTTAAACTGATTGGTTGTAGTGATGAATGTATATCGCAGGTACATTATTTGTGTAGTGTATATGTGATATTGCAGCTGATTAATGTTTGGTGTATGTTGATGAATTCACTGTATCATAGTTGTCGGATGTTAGCTTGTAAACCTTACTTACTGTCTAAAGTAATAATTATATCCTCTGGATTGTCGACGTTAGAAAATTCAAGGGAAGGCTTAAAATCAATAGTACCAACACTATCTTCTGGATAATCTGCTGTGTAATATGCTTTTGAAAATTTAGGTCCAGCTTCACTGTTTACCTTTGGCAATTCTAGAACTAAAGCGGTTTCTCCAGTATCTTCTGTTCCTGATTGGCTTGCTGTTAACGTTATGACTAGTTCAGAGTGTGCCTTTAAAATGGCATCATCCAGGCCCTTCTTTATATTTATAACCCACTTGTCATTATCGTACTTAATTTCAAAATTGTCTGCGTAATCTGAAATAATACATTGGAGGAAGTTTGAAAACGAAATACGCAAAGGTATATCTAGGACAAATATAATAACAAAACTAAAGTTTTCAACATATTCTGAAAATTTATGATGGGTATTTAAATATTCCAACCCAACAATTCCCATAAATTGTACAGTGGTGTGTGTCTGATGGTTCTATGATATTGTAGATTATTTCACATCATTCTGCGTGTTTATTTGTGATATAATATGTAGTTCATGTAATATAAATTCGAATAAACAAATTTACTGGTAGCTGACGAAAATTTTCTGTGTGCTGTCGAATTTACTCATCTTTGGTTGTTGATCGTGTATGTTTACAAATCTTACTTACTGTCTAAAGCAATTACAACTTCCGTAGGATCATCGATGTTTGAAAATTCAAGAGAAGGCTTAAATTCAATAGTTCCAGTACCATTTTCTGGATAATCCGCTGTGTAGTATGCTTTTGAAAATTTAGGTTCCGTTTCAGTATCTTTCTTTGGTAATTTTAAGACCAAAGCAGCTTCTCCAATAACATCCTTGTCAACTTGGCTTGCTATTAATGTCATAGTTAGTTCAGAATTAGTATACAAAGTGGTTTCATCGAGGGGTTTCTTTATTTTCAAAACCCACTTATCAGTATCATATATAATTTCCAAGTAGTCCACATAATCTGAAATAATACAGTTCAGACATTTCAAAAAAAACATTTGTAAAAGGTGTTTCTAGAACAAATTTAATTTTAGTTCGGGTTTGACTCGTGTTGGCCTCGATGTAAGTAAATAAACTATTTGTGTAAGATGTACTTAGATACCTTATATCATTCCTTTCATCTTGTTAAATTGTAACGTTTAGATTGTATTATCTGTAGAGGACGAACTTATGGAGTAAAATTATGATAGTGTAGTACTTCTTCTGTATTTCTTGTGAATTAGGTAAGTGTTGTATTGACGTGTAAAGCTGACATATATATCGCGAGTACATTCTTTTATGGGGCGTATTTATTTTACATTGTACTTACTGTCCAAAGTTATCGTCACAGTCTTCTCATCATTTACGTTAGTAAATGTAATTGGATCTTCAAATGCTACTATACCAGAATTTTCTTCTGAATATTGTGCTATATAGTACGCTTTAGAAAACTCAGGAGCTGCTTCATCTTTAATGCTTGGTAAATTCATTACTAGAACCGTTTCACCTGTGTCTGATATACCAGATGCCGAGGCAGTCAACTTTAAAATAAGTTCTTCATTGTTCAATAAAGTATCGTCATCTAGACTTTTTGTTATTTTGATGTACCATTTATTTGAGTCATATATAAGTTCAAAGTTTTCAGTATATTCTGAAAATGTTTAAAATCAGAATTTAGATTCAAGATAAATTCTGTAAGTTAAATTGTGTGGTGTCAGTAGTAATATGCAATATCTTAGGTGATTTCTTGTACTGTGGGGATTTTTTGCATGTGGTTGAATTTATTGTACCTTCATTGTTGGTGGTGTGTTTGTAAATTTTACTTACTGTCTAAAGCAATTACAACATCCGTAGGATCGTCGACATTTGAAAATTCAAGAGAAGGGTTAAATTCAATACTTCCAACGCCATTCTCTGGATAATCCGCTGTATAGTATGCTTTTGAAAATTTAGGTCCCGTTTTAGTTTCTACCTTTGGTAATTTTAAAACCAAAGCAGCTTCTCCCGTAACATCTTTTTCAGCTTGGCTTGCTATTAATGTCATAGTTAGTTCAGAATTTGAATTTAAAGTAGCATCATCCAGAGATTTCTTTATATTTAAAGCCCACTTATCAGAATCATATATAATTTCTAAGTAGTCTGCGTAATCTGAAATAATACGTTTCAAACATTGCAAAAACGACATTAAAAAGAACAAATTTAATTCTAATACAAGTCTGATTTGTGTTAGCGTTGATGTGAGGAGATATCCTGATATTCGTATTTCATTCAATTCATATTGGTAAACTGTACTGCTTAGATTGTATTATCTGTGTGGAATGGACTTATGAACTAAAATTATAACGGTGTAGACATGACTTCTATTGTTTGTAATTCTTGCAAATTAGATACGTGTTGGACCGACATGCGAAGACGGTGTATATCGCAGGTACATTCTGTTATGATTCACAATTGTTTCACTGCATGATATAGTACTTACTGTCTAAAGTAATAGTTACAGTTGACATTTCATTTACGTTGGTAAATTCAATTGGATCTTCAAATGCTATTACGCCAGAACCTTTCTGCGGATACTGTGCTATATAGTATGCTTTAGAAAACTCAGGAGCTTCTTCACCTTTATTGCGTGGTAAATTCATTACTAGGATCGTTTCACCTGTATCCGATATACCAGATGCCGAAGCTGTTAGCGTTAAAACAAGTTCTTGATTGTTCAATAAAGTTTCGTCATCCAGACATTTTGTTATTTTGATGTACCATCTATTTGAGTCATATATAAGTTCAAAGTTTTCAGTATATTCTAAAAATATTTTAAATCAGTATTTAGATCCAAGATAAATTCTGTAAGTTGAATTGTGTGGTGTCAGCCGTAATATGTAACATCTTAGAAGATTTCTTGTAATGTGAGATGTCTCTTTCAGTTCATATAATAAAACTTCAATAAACAAATTTGTGGGTAATGTAACTGTAGCGATTTAAACTTTGCTGCACATTGTTGAATTTATTGTATATTTGTTGTTTGTTGTGTGTTTGTAAATCTTACTTACGGTCTAAAGCAATTACAACATCCTTAGGATCATCGACGTTTGAAAATCCAAGAGAAGGTTTAAAGTCAATAGTTCCAGTGCCGTCTTCTGGATAATCTGCTGTATAATATACTTCTGAAAATTTGGGCGCTAATTCAGCCGGCAGATTTAAAATTAAGACAGCTTGACCAATGCTCTCATTTCCTACTTCAGTTGCTGCTAGTGTCATGACCAATTCAGAGTTTGCTTTTAAAATGGCATGGTCCAGGCTATTCTTTATATTTATAACCCATTTATTAGTTTCATATTGAATTTCAAAGTTGTCTTTGTAATCTGAAGTAATACATTTCAAAAATTACACAAACAATATACACAAACGGAAACGAAGCTTGGGCTTTTACTGGAATTAATTTTAATAAAAATATATGTAGTAATGTATTGAGCGATGTTAAAAGTTGTTTGCAGGGGCATACCTAGATAATCATTAAGCCCTTCGTGTGTCGTTTAGATGTTTAGATTTTATTATCTGTTAGTTATGCAAATATACCATTATATTTAAGACCAAATAAATGTAGTATTTCATGTCAAGAGAATTTCATAATGGACTTTCCTAATATGTGATACCAATTGTTGGTGTAATGCATAATTGTTTATGTGTAGTCACCGAGACAGATTTCCTTTCTCAGTGGTCTAGCATAATACTTACTATCCAAAGTTATAGTTATTGTTGTCGCGTCTTTTACGTTAGTAAATTCAATCGGATTTTCAAATTCTATTACACCAGAGCCTTTCTCAGGATATTGTGCTGTGTAGTACGCCTTCGAAAATGTAGGAGCTTCAATATAACTATCACGTGGTAAATTCATCACTAGAGTAGCTTCACCTTTATCTGTATTACCAGACGCAGAAGCAGTAAGTGTCATAAGAAGTTCCGTGTTTTTTAATATAATGTCGTCATCGAGAGTTTTTATTATACTGATGTGCCATTTCCCAGAGGCAAAATCAATTGCAAAGTTTTCAGTATACTCTGAAATATTTATAATTTTAATTACAAATATTTGATTAAATCAGTGCTTCAAATGTATTGTGTAGTTTTGGGTAATTCATTTAGCGTATATAAAAATGGAGTAGATAAGTACATAAAGTAAGATGTTGTTGATGTGGTGTTTGTATTATACTTCTGGTTTGGCTTCGTTGTATACTTAGTAGTGGTTGTGTGTTTGTCAATCTTACTTACTGTCTAACGCAATTACTATGTCTTCTGGCGTATCGATATTGGAAAATTCAAGGGAAGGCTCAAATTCAATAGTACCATCGCCATATTTTGGATAGTTCGCTGTATAATATGCTTCAGAAAATTTGGGGACTATTTTAGTTGGTAATTTTAGAACTAAAACGGCTTCTGCGGTATTTTCTTTGTCTTTCTCGCTTGCAGTTAATGTCATGACCAGTTCAGAATTTGTCTTTAAGGTGGAATCGTTCAAAGCAGTCTTTATGTTTACAACCCACTTATTAGTATCGTATTTAATTTCAAAGTTGTCGGCGTAATCTGAAATAATATTTTTCAGGAATTTAAAAAAAAAACAATTTGCATAAGTGTTTATCTAGAACTAGTTTAACTTTACATCAGTTTCAATAAAAATATGTCGTGTTGTTCTCTTCTTAATAATGTGATGTTGGATGTTGCTAGTTGTGTTTTATTTCTTCAGAAGATATAAGTATATACATACGAGTATGCATTCCTATGCGGCTTCAAATGTTTAAATCTTGATAACTCTATTTTATTATTTATAACTGAGTATAAATGATAGATATATATGCACTGTCCATTGTATTCACGATGTAAGGTATACAGTAATGAGTCTTATAGATTATAATATTAATTTCTTATTATGTCTTAAGTCAAGAAACTTGGTGGACTTTTGTGTAGTAAGATATATATGTAGATGAAGTGATTGAGTTTGCTCTCTGTTGTAGTAAAGAAGTGTCTAGAAATGTTAGAGTACAGGACAGGAACAAGTAATCGCAGTGTTGTCGCTTGATATTACAGTTATGTGATTTCCGATCTTACTTACTGTCTAATGTGATTACCACTCCTTTTGGATCGTCAATATTGGAAAATTCAATAGAAGGTTCAAATTCCATAACCTGGGTGACATCTTCTGGATAATACGCTGTATAATATGCTTCGGAAAATTCGGGCACTACTTCAGCTGGCAGTTTTAAGACTAAAACAGCTTGCCCAGTATTTTCTTTTCCTGCCTCCGTTGCTGTTAAAGTCATGACTAGTTCGGAATTTGTCTTTAAAGTGGCATCGTCCAAAGCTTTTATTATGTTTATGATCCATTTGTTAGCAACGTATGTAATTCCAAAGTTGTCGTTATAATCTGTAATGATTCATTTCAATTGTTCGGAAAATGATATACACGAAAGTTATATCTAGATCAAATTTAATTCTATTTCTGTTTAGTCTTTCATTATTTATAATTATAATCGTTCAAAATGTAATGGATGTAATGTTAAATCCTGTAGATATAGTGTCCATATTGTTTGATTCAAGTCGAGGTAAATTTTCTGTAGTATAGTTTTGTGATGCTAATATATATAACAACATATTGCACGTGCATAATTGTTATACTGTATGACCATTGAGTAGAAAATTTTTCTTTTATTTAATAGTTTAACGTAATACTTCTTACTATCCAGTGTTATCGTAACAGTTGTCGCATTTTTTACGTTATTGGATTTTCAAATTCTGTTACCTTTCTATGGACATTGTGCTGTATAAGTAAGTAAATAAGTGTCTTTATTTAGCTTATCAAGCTAGTTACAAATTACAACAATCATAATACATAAAATTTTAAAGAGAAAACATATTATGCTAAATATAAACATAGAAGCAGAGAAAACAAAAAATATAATAACATAATGAATATAGTAGTGTAGTATGCCATCGAAAATGTGGGAGCTTCATTATAACTATCACGTGGTAAATTCATCACTAGAGTAGCTTCTCCTTTGTCTGTATTACTAGATGTAGAAGCGGAAAGCGTCATAAGAATCTCGGAACGGTTTAATATAATATCGTCATCAAGAGCTTTTATTACGCCGATGGACCATTTGTTTGATTCAAATTTAATCTCAAATTTTTCACTATATTCTGAAATACCCAGAATTTAAATTAAAGATTTCCGTGTTAAAGCACACCTGTAGATTGTATTATGTTATTTCACGTAATGTATTTAGATACATCATAACTGGCCAATGTGTATGTAGAACTGGAAGAAGCAAATCCACAAAATGTGTTGACACTGTTGTGTATGTACATATTATGTTTAACTGCATGTTTATGTTCGTGAATTTTACTTACTTTCTAGCGTAATTATGACGTTTTCTGGATTATCTATGTTGGAAAATTCAAGAGAAGGTTCAAATTCAATAGTTCCAACGCCATCTTTAGGATACTCCGCTGTATAGTATGCTTGTGAAAATTTGGGAATAACTTCAGCTGGTAGCTTTAAGACGACAACAGCATGCGCAGTGCTTTCTTTTCCCTCCTGAGTGGCTATTAATGTCATGACCAACTCAGGGCTTGCTTTTAGGATGGCATCGTCCAGGCTATTCTTTATATTTATAACCCACTTATTGTTATCATAAGTAATGTCAAAGTTAGCTTCGTAATCTGAAATAATTCGTTTAAAAAGTTTCAGTAACGGTATGCTAACTCCTAGAACAAATTGAAATGTTCTTGTGCTGTTGTTTTTCTTGTAATGTGATGTAAGTTGTTAATAATTATTATTTAGTTTCTCAGGTGCTGCAGGTATGTGGCTTCTTCATAATTTTACTATTCGTAATTCGTAAAAGTGTCGCTCAATGTATTCAAGACGTAATAAATGTCTCGTAGATGTAATATTAGTTTTTATGTATTTACATTATTATGTGGCGCATTTTTATTTTAATATATAACGTTGAGAGATATTTTTACTCAATGTTCTAGCATAGTAAACAACTCCGTAAAGGGTACTATGTGATCTAGAGAGAGCTTATACATAATTGGAATGTATGAGTTCTCAGTGTACATTGTTGTTGTTGCTGTCGTATATGTAGTATATTCGTGCTTTGACATCACTGGATATATTGTGTTTTGTGTGTACTGTAAATATTACTCACTGTCTAACGTAATTGCTATGTCTTCCGGATTGTCAATATTGGAAATTTCAAGAGAAGGTTCAAATTCAATAGTTCCAGAGCCATCTGCAGGATAGTTCGCTGTATAATATGCTGCTGAAAATTCGGGTACAACTTCAACCGGTAGCTTTAAGACTAAAACAGCATGCCCAGTGTTTTCTTTTCCTGCCTCAGATGCTGTTAACGTGATGACTAGTTCGGTATTTGCCTTTAAGGTGGCATCGTCCAAAGCACTTATTATATTTATGGTCCACTTATTAGCATCGTACTTAATTTCAAAGTTATCCTTGTAATCTGAAATAATGGCATAATATGTTGGTCATGATTTTATTTTCATTCTTGCGGCATAACCAGAGACAACTAGGAATATGTGCAAAGAATATGTGTTAGATTTCTTTAAAATAATATATTTACCTACTACTAATTTTTTATTATAAAGACAATTTATAAGTAATAGGTATTTGTTTGCAAGTCGCAATGTGATATCAAGAAATATGAATATGCAAGAGAATAGGGTTAGATAAAGAGGTCTGAAAGATGAGTTACTGGAATTTTAATACTATTTTTAAATCTGTATCCCAGGAATATTTACAATTCCCTTCCATGGATTTTCAATTGAAAAAATATCTGATATTCTAATGGACCAGATTCATGTACATGGTTTGTACAGTTCGACATACATTTTTCATTATTCCTGGCTATATTAATATGATTAGGTAAAAGAAAATATTATTTTGATTGTCAGTGATTCAACAAAGTAAATAAATAAATAGATCGGTTCAAGTATACAAGAGATGAAACACAAACTAATAGAAAATATTTTCATTTCCGTTGATATTGATTAAGCTTCAGGGATAAGTGATAGAGATTTTTCAATAGTGAATGTACGTTTTATGTGTCTAACTAAACTTTTGTCGATTCGCTACTTACTGTCCAAGGTGATTGTAACTTTAGTTGGATCTTTAGCATTTACTAGCTCTATGGGGTTTTCAAATTCGATAGTTCCACTTCCACTTTTAGGGTATTCGGCTACGTAATAAGCTTCAGCAAATTGTATCGCGTTAGAAGGTAGTTGAAGCACCAATACAGAGTGTCCGTTCTTAGTGTTATCAGTTTCTATAGCAGTTAGAACGATAATTAGCTGAGAATTTTTAGATAAGGTGGCATCGTCCAGACTTTTTAGTATCGATAAATCCCATTTGCCAGAATCGTACTTGACTGCAAAATATTCGTCGTAACCTAGAAGAAATCCATAGATTATCATTTGAATTCACTCAGTGACAAGATTTTCACCTCAAGTGTGTTCTGTGTGGCTGTGTGTGTGGCGATTCTGTGTAGCTGTGTGTGTGTGTGACGATTTTTATTGCGGTTTGTGTTGCAGTGTGTATGTATTTCTTGTGTGTTTAGCTCAAGAAAACAGTTCTACTTACTATTCAACTGAACTTCAACATTTTTTGGATTTTCAACATTGGTAAAGCCAATATCTGTAGTCAGTGTGATGTTGCCTTTTCCACTTTCGGGATATGATCCTGAGTAGTATTCTTCGGAAAACAGGGGGGCGTCTTTTGTATCCCAATTAATAACGAGTACTGAATGCCCAGTAGCATCATTATTTTCTTCTGATGCTGTTAAAGTTATGGCGATTTCTTTATTTGATGTTAATATTTTAGTAGGTAGAGCTTTTAGGACTTTAAAAACCCATTTGTCTTCTGTATAGCTGATGCCAAAATACTCGGTGTATGCTAGAAATTACGGAATAGTAAAGGCTCTAGGTACGTAAGTTGCGAAGGTGTACTTACAGTCTAGTTTTATTGTAATGAGTGCCGGGTCGTCTCTGTTAGAAAAAGCTATATCTTTCTCTATCGTTAGGCTTGCATCGGTATATTTTGCCATGTACACGGTTTCCGAAAAATTTGGTGCATCCGTGGCAGTCTCTGGCAATTGAACATTTATTACAGCTTGCGCTTCGTTTTCGTATGCATCAGTCGCTGTCAGTGTTAACACAATTTCTTTTTGTTTTTTCAACACCTCATCAGAGAGATGGTCAACGACAGATATTACGTACTGTTTACTATCAGAATCCAGTTTTACCTCGAAATTTTTCGAATAAGCTGCAATATAATTCAAGTAAAACTACTGCTTTTATCCGTTAATTACGTTTACTTACTGTCAGCGACAGCAATGTTAACTCCGGTAACATCTGTCGTAAAACCTATTGGGTGATCTGAGTCAATGGTGACGACATGGTCAGTGCTATAAGAGGCACTGTACAATGTTTCGGTAAACTGAAGAATATGTTCAGGTAATGCTATTATAAGAGCTGCTGTATCAGAGTAATCATCTACCGTTGCTTCTATTGTCAGGGTTATATAGGAATTGTCTTTTAATTCTGATACAGAAAGGCTGGTGTCAACAGATATTTTGCATGACTTGTCTGTATTGTCATACTTTACGCTGAAGTGATCCGCATATTCTGTGAAAAAAAAATAGATTTCAAAATGTCGGACGGACGGTATTTTACCGTGTTCCGTACGCGAAAGTTTTTAAATGTAAATTTGATTATCCTTTATTTATTTAATAATATAGGTATTACTTACACTTTAAGACATAGTAGACAAGCGTAAAGTAGTTTCTCAAGATAATATGTACAGTTAAAGTCATAACAATATTTGCCGTTAGTAGAGCTAGATTTAATAATTGGCATATTAAGATTAAAACCAAATCCTTAACAGTTTCGCATAGTCTTTGATTTTGATCTTGTAAGTCAAGTTATCTTCAAAGTAGTGCTTTTTAAATTCTTGCTGAAGATTCATAAGAATTAACGTTTTTTTACTTTCACTATTACAACTTTATCATTAAAGTCTATACACCTTTAACTATTACTGGAGTTTTTTAAAGCATCCAGATACAGTCAATCCAATTTTTCTTGTTGTGACAGAACTTATTGTTATTATTGAAGGAAACGTTCTGCAGGATATATCGGTAGAAGGAGAAAACATTTGTACAAGTTTTGGTTCAAGTACCTATTCCTATTTTATCACTAAATAACCCATGTTGGAAGAACTATAGTCTTCTATAGGCAATCTAAGAGAAATTTCTTCGACATTATCTTAAGGTACCTGCCGCAGTTAAGGCTGTATTTAGTACTTTATTAATGGCATTTCTACATGTATTCAAATTTTCATTTTGTAATAGCTTTTAAGGAAAAAAATGATGTAAAAATAGTAATAATAGACTTTATTAAGAGCCTATGATCCAAATAAGACCTATGCCATTATTTTGTTTTTCATTTAACAAATTTCGAGACAAAGTGTTACAGATAGTTATAAATAAACTTGAAATAGATAATAACTTAATTTTCATACATAAAACAAAACAAACAAATAAATTTTAACCCATCTCCCTTATTACATAAATTTTCCGTTGCTATATTATTAGTGCAGTCATTGAAGCTGAAAATCAGCTGTAACCTCCAAATTCTTTGAAACTGTATAGATTTGCATGAAAATTTAAAATAAGGCTCATCTTAGGCTCAAGTTCAAAAGTAACATAAGCCCGATTGGTGCTTTTTGTCTTTTAGGGGTAAAAACTACCCCTAAATGAAAAAAATTGAAAAAATTAAGTTTTAAACATTTTACTGATAAAAATCTTCTTCAAGCACAATGATTAAATAATGTGTCATGTTCTCGAACATGTTTTATGATATCTTTGATATTTTCGTCCCTTTATTTAACCCTTTAGAACTACTCCTCTGCAAAAAATAATGATAAAAAATTACTTTTTAAAAGTTTGGAATGCTTTAACGGTGCAATTATTTAAAATAAAAATTCCCTCATTGCTTATGAAAGAATTTGTATTTCATAACACTTTCCAACCCTTATAAATCACCCCTGTGCTAAAAAAATTATAAAAAATTACGTTTTAAATCTTGGAATACTATAATTGTGCAATAATTTAAAATAAAAATTCTCTCCTTTATTTTATATGCTATAGGAATAAAAAGCTAAATATTTGTTGAAAAAAAAACTACAATTTTGTTGTATCTTTTTTTACGTATCTTTCATAGTTTCAGAGTTATTATATAAATAAGACAATTTTTTTGAATAATGAAAAATACGTTTTCAACTTTTACCGTACATTAGTAAAAAAATACGCATTCTAAACCGGTCTAACTTCAGGATCGTATGAAAAACACTAAAACAAAACTAATTGTAAAGGGTCTACGATTAATTTTAATTCTGATGGAAATGGTACAGCGTTTACTGCTCATTTTTCCTTAAAAAATATGAGTAACCCATCTGTTTTTTACGATAACTCCTGGAGCGTTATACACGTAAAATTAATCCTTTTTCCGTTATTTGACATTGAATACATCGATTCGAGTATTCCCCCCAAAACAAGTCCCTTTCCACTAACCATATTTCGCTTTGTATAGGACGTACAACACTTTTTAAAAAACAATTTTCTTTGTTTATTTATAAGCTACATTTTTGTTCATTACACCTTTTTTAATAAAATGCGTAGCTTTTGAGTTATTCGCGAAAAATACTTTGAAAATGTGTTTTTTTTTCACTCAAAATTACAAGTTTTCAATCGTGAATAACTAAAAAATTATTGATTTCTCGAAAAAATTTTTCGAATATTTTTTGCTCAAAATTTGAATCTCTATCGATTTCCAGCGTTACTTTTGAAAAAAAATCCAACAGGGTGGAAGCGTCAATCGGCGCTGTTACTAATGTTCATTGACCTTTTCTCTAACTATCTGTCAAATTTCAAGTCGATCGGTTCAGTTTCAAAGAATTCGGAGGTGGAAAGCTTCAAAATGACTACTACATAAGCATATTACGCATAGACATTAATGGTTTAACTTTCTTTACGGTGATATCAACTTTTTTTTAATTGTAAGTAGTCTCTTTCTTTGTTGGATATACATTTTTATAATATAAATTTGTTTTATTATGCATGTAACCCCACGATTTTTTTCATAAAAATCAAACGAATAATGAAAAACAAAACCGACATTAAATATGTATTACCAAAAAAGAAACCATCTTCTATCGCGTTTTTTCTATAAAAAATTAATTCCGTGAATCTACCTTGTTCTGTAACAAAAATGTACATTTGCAATGAACAGATATACTTTGTGTCTTTAAAGAATTTTAGATTTCTTAAGGATAAGAAATTGGTGAACAAATATTATTGGAAGTTTTGCTTCAAAACGACGCAGTTATCTTATTAGGGATCTTGCCTTATTTAGTACAGGTACCTTAATTATTATTTTCGATTATTATTATTCAATATTTCTGTAAATAAAACAATATACATCCTATGAATTTAATACTTCCAAGCAAAAGAAAATAAATCCCTTTCAAGTAATTATAAAGCAATACCTAGAGCGGTGTGACTTCGCCAAACCAGTATATTTTCAAATATTTATTTCTCGTAGAAAATGTACAATATTTCCACAAGTGTTGTTGATAAAATTTGGAAAGTGGTAAAGCAAATTGTTTTTAATACGTTAGAAGGTAATGCTTATTTTTCTATACAGGGTGAATCACAACTTATCCAAAAAATTTAGAAATAGATAGTAACAGAAAATGGATTCAATATCGCAAAAAAGTTTTTTATAAAATCCTTAGTTTCCGAGAAAAAAATTTGTGGTAATTTCATCGCTGAGCAACTGTAGCCTCTAGCATCATTCACGTTGCGCGCTTTACGCAATGCGTGTGGAGAAGCACGTGGCCCCAGCGACTCCGAATATTGAAATCCGATGTTACAATTAGTATTAACGCCATTGCGACAGTGTTTACAATAGTCTTTCAGTAGTTAGTGTCAAAAATGGCTTATGTGTGTAGCAACTCGAAGTTGATGGATATCGTTTTAATTTATGGTGAAACTTCTCGTCTGTACGCAGAACGATTTCCCGGTAGACATATACTTTTACCGCGGTAGTGCAACGCGAGCGTGACACGGAAAATTTACAACCGAATTATGGAGGTCCAGGGCGTCCACAATGTAGTAAATCGCAAATCTAGTAGATATAGACATACTGTATAGTAGGTACCTAGTTAAGTTAAACCAAGGGCTAGAAACAGGCGATGGTGTAGTTCGCTGAGAAAGAGGCCGTTCCCACGGACTTGGATGAAAGGCGCGGCATCGTAAAGTAGTTCGGTGTGATTTAAAATAAACAAATCTCCAAAGTTACGGGATCTCGCCGGATATGAAGGTGATAAATTTTATCTCTAACATGACTCCTTTCGAAAACTGTCAATTTAACACTTTTTTTGAAAGATAACTGTTCATGGGAACTTTCGGTCCGCGGGGAAAAAGCTACGGTTGCAGAAAGGAGCCATTACGCCTTTTTAGTAATGGTCAACGGTATAGTTTACACCCTCTTTTTATGATAAAAGGCAACACTCTTAAGTGGGAATAATTTATTGAAAAATGAAATAATTGATTGGTGGGATCGATTCGGCCATATTTTAATTAGGAGAGCTTTAGCATACAGGGCTGGGTTAAAGCATCGGAAAAATCGGGAGCTTAAGACTTTGAAGGAGGACTAGAGTCAGTCGTTGCGGGGACTACAGAGTCGTTGCGGGGACTACAGAGTCGTTGCGGGGCTCCGGGAATCGAGAGAGTATTGCGTGGATCCGGGATCCGAAAGTAGTTGCAGGACTCCGGGAGTCTAAAGTCGTACGGGGCTCGCGGAATTGGAAGTTTATTTTCTAGTGCCGGGCACTAGGTCTTTATTTGGGCAATATTTTTCCAGAGTCGTTACAAGTCAACCGGGATTGATTTTTGGGACTATTTGATGTTAGAAAAATTTTGGTGACCGCAACGGAGCGTACAGTGCACGGTGGGTGCCATTTAGTGTCCTGTTTTCTCAGTGGATTAACTCTCGTTCTGTTTCGGAAATTTTGGTAAGTGTATCAAATAGTATTTTTTTGTTGTTGTTCTTTGTTTTGTTTGTAACATTATTCTAGACGGAACGGCAGCGATCAGACTGTCTTTCTGAACAATATTCAATTTAAGTACCAAATAGTAATTTTGGTTTTTCTTTGTTTTGCTTGTAACATTATTCTAGACCGAGCGGCAGCGATTAGACTGTCTCTCTAAACAATATTCAATATAAGTACCAAATAGTATTTTTTGGTGGTTCTTTGTTTTGCTTGTAACAGTTTTCTAGACAGAGCGGCAGTGTGTAGACTGTCTCTCTGAACATTATTATTCAATATATAGTTAGTATTAAATCAATGCGAGGCTTGATTTCTCACAACCGCCTGACTCATTCCCGCTAGTTAGAAGTCTCTGCGAGAAGTTTTCTGCTTCGACTTTAGCCAGAGCCGAATCCGGGTGTCTGTCAGCCGCTCGACAACCAACCAGGAGGTAGCCGGGGCGAAGATACGCACAGTAGTCGAAAATCGGGAGCCGCGACCTTATTGGTGCCCGAGGGGGGAATAGTCCTTGGGTAAGCAGCTGTCCGACGGTTGTAGATTGGAATGTAGAAATTTGGTCACAAGGTGGAGAGTTAGTAAAAACCAAAAAAGGTGCATGTTTCTGGTAAAAATAGTTTTTCTTTTAGTGCAAGCTTGTACCGTGTTGTGGTTTTTGCATATATATTTTGGTGTCAGGTGTTTTGCACCACACATTACAATTTTGGTGTCAGGTGTATTTTAAAACACCACTAATAGAAAATCAAATCAAACAAAAAGATAATTTCTACAACAACATATTGCAGCTGCTGAGGGACACATATTTTAGAGATTGTTGAAGAGAATAACCGAATAAGTACCTGGCAAATCGCTCAACGAGTACAAGAATGTCTCAATCAATGGTGTGGCGTATCATACACGAGGCTCAATTATATCCGTACCATGCACAGCGTGTTCAAGCATTAATACCAAGGGATTATCCCTTACGAATTAGATTGTGTGAATGGTTGCTGCAACAAAATGGTCAAAATCCCAGATTTATAGCTGACGTGTTAGTTACAGATGAAGCTATTTTTACACGGAATGGGATGTATAACATTCATAATACGCATGTTTGGGATTTTGAAAATCCGCACACGATGCAACGGGATCATTTCCAACGCTTTTCCTTAAATGTTTGGGAAGGGATGGTCGATGATCGCTTGATTGGACCATTCATATTACCAAATCGAATAGATGAGGTTCAGTATCTCGAGTTCCTTCGAAAATGTGCCCTTAGCTGTCCGATTCCGAATATGGTTCTTGCACGATGGTGCTCAAGTTCAAGGGATACGATGGATTGGACGAGGAGGACCGGTACATGGCCGCCACGATCTCCTGACTTAAATCGTTTGGACTTTTTGTGGGGATATTTAGAAAATGAAGTGTATCGCACCGAAGTGGACACTATTAATGATTTACGCGAACGTATCATAGCTGCTGCAAATAGCTTACGAGTTCAAAACGGACAAGAACCAGAAACATTTGCGTTAGTTAGTAGAAACTAAGTNTTATAACAATCCAGGAATTAAATATAACATGAAATCAATTATTAACAGTACAGTACTCAACACTTATAAGTCTATATCAGGAATGAATCCCTGTCTCTCCCGAGCTTGCAGGCGTTCCTTATATCGAGGCCACATCATTAATTAAAACCATAAATTAATTTTATTAATTAATAATAACAATAGCGGCAAAAGCAGTTGGATTTGCTGATATAAAATAGATGTTATAAAATTCTATTTATTTCTTTCCGTGCGAAATTCTTTCAAGTTTTTGTCCGTTTATTTTTTATTACACTTTGCCGCCGTGCTGGTTGCCTTGTGCGAGGTCAGGTTTTACAGTGGACCAGTTTCTAGTGCCGTGCAGAAGTGTATTTTTAAATCAATTTCGAACTACCTTTTTTGATTTTTTTTTACAAAATTTTATTTGTAAGGGTCCCCTGTACATCCAATTTTTTTTTTTTGATAAGTTCTGAATCACCCTGTATAGTTTTTATTGAAACCTAATACTTATATAAACAATACTTTTTAAAACATTTTCTAGTAGCAGACTCCTTTTAGGTCCTCCCAAATTACCAAAAAGTTAATTTAAAAGACTTGATAAAGTGTCACCGACTTTCCAGTAAATGTCAAATAAAAAAGAAAATGATACCTACTCTTTTCAACTCTGAGCATTGCAATTAGTAAATAAAAATTAATATACATCGTTTGCAGTGTAAAAAAAAATTCAAAAGTGGTGCAAAGTCACACATCTAGTAAGATTTTACAATAATCGCTAGCTGCAAATTGTGATTTAACAACGATATTTATGCTGAAAATATTCATAGCCTTGGAGATGTAAAAAGCATGCCAAAAACTGTTATTCTTATACTTGATTTATTTTTAACAAAACTTTATTACGTCCGCAAGAAAATACTAAAAGATCACTCACCCCCTGATATTGTGACGTTGGGTGTTCCGCTGCTAGCAATTGTGATGACGTCATGTTCAACATCACCAGTAACATCATCGTAGCTTCCCGTGTAATAATGATTACTGAATTGTGGAGCTCCAGTGCTATCGGCCGAGAGATAGATGATTATCGATGTGGAAGCACTACTGTCCGTAGTAACGCTTAAGGTGAGGATAAGAACGGATTCTGAAGTTGTTGGAAGAGGATCGGTTACTGCAAAGCTAATGGTTCTCGTAGTGGCATCGAACTCTGTTTTAAAGTATCCCTCGTACTCTGTAAAAACTATATTTGCCTTAAAAAGTCTGATGCAAAGAAAAGCTGATAAGAGAGTTTAAGGGCTGAGGTCTGTTGCCTCTCTTTTATAAGCTTTTCAAGTTAAACTCTTAAAAAACTACTTTTTCAATAGGACGGTAGTTCATGTAAAGTTTTTTTCTTAGATTCCCTGTTTTCGAGATATAGTGTGTTGAAATTGTTACTTCCCAAATGGTTTTCCTTAATTATCTAAAACTCGGCTAAAGATAAAAATGTCAAAATTTGTACACAAGTAAACATCATCTGTGCGTTAAAAATAATGTGCAAACGGTTTCTTTCTGGAAAGCAGTGTCGCCGATACAGGTAATTGGAGGGGTACAATAGAAAAAAATTTGATAAATAAAAATTTATTACATTTCTAAACTCTAAAGCATACTACAAAAAAAGAGTATACTTGTCGAAATTCGGTAGCATGTACCATTTTCGAGAAAAATGAAGTTGCATAGAAGGAAATGGGGGACAGTTTCTTTACCTACTGTAGTATTTCGCATTTGCACATTTATTTAATTGTACAGCTGTTTTGTTCTGTATGTCTTCGAGTCTGTTGCCTAATATTTTTCTGTTTTTATCATTTTTTTAAGCATTCATGTCCATCAACAATTCAGTCCATTCAACAGTTGTTTATTTTAGTAATGGTAGTGTAGTAGTTTACAAATTCTAAAATTAGTTAATAATAGATAATTAATAATCATAATCTGTTTATTTTGATCTACTTTTTTAAACGTTAGTTTACAACAAACTGAAACTTAAAATAAATTTTAATTTTTTTTTTAGTTAATAAAATGTTTTACAATTTAACTGTTTCAAGTGATACGTAAGAAATTAAAATTATAGTCTTAAATGCAAATACTGTTGGTAGCTAAATGTCTTCAGCTCATTCAATGGTAAGGTCCTCATTCAATTTAATATTTTGTTGATGTACTTGTACCGCTTTATGTGAGCAAAAAAAATGCAATTTCATTTTTCTCGAAAATGGTACATGCTACCGAATTTCGACAAGTGTGCCTTTTTTTTGTAGTATCCTCTAGAAATGTAATAAATTTTTACTTTTAACATATTTTTTCTTCGATTGTACCCCTTCAATTCAAACCGTTTGCACATTATTCTTAACGCACAGTTGATGTTTCCTCGTGTATAAATTTTGACATTTTTATCTTTAGCCGATTTAAAAATAATTAAGGAAAACCATTTGGAAAGTAACAACTTCAACACACTGTATCTCGAACACAGGGCGTCTAAGAAAAAAACTTTACATGAACTACCCCTATTATTTTCCCATGAGGAACTTACACAGAAGTTTTTGAAGCATGAACGGGACACCCTGTATATTTCGGTTGTTTCATTGGCATTTATTTCAAAATCCAGAGTGTTTAATTAAAAACGGAACACAGCTTAATGGATTGTTCTAAATATGCTTATGTTTTTAAGTTGAGATTTTCAATAATAGGACAAATTTGGTGCTCATTACTAGGTAGCTGACTATTTTCTTGTCAAAATGGTATACTATTTGAGCGCCAAATAGAAGAACAATAATCTTAGTAATTCTAAATACTACCATTTCTTATCTACTGTTGTAAATAAGTAGTGTAAAATAGGTATATTTCATTCAAAAAATGCAGAGTTTCCAAAGTTGTTTCAATAATAAAATACACAAATACTTCGCATTCATCCTATGGACATCCTATGGCTGGATATTCTGCACATCTATGTTTTGTGGAGACCTTTCTGACGTCCAAATATTATAAAAAATGGATCCATAGCATACATTCACATTATTATAAATGGACATCCATAGTGATAATTACACATTAATGATAAGTAGAGCTGTCATAATTGGCCGCGCACAGGCGTGCGGATCAACATAAAATAATGTGAACAACGATTATAAGATTTATGTCATTGTATTATTGTGAAACACGTAAATTGTTTTACGCATCGTTGCCATCGATTCCACAATCTGGATGGGATCCCTTATAGATCGCATCATCAAGTAAATAACTTAATCTGAAGAAAACGATCGTCCAACATCTGATGTAATATTTGCATAATTAAATAATCTACTTCCAAGCTGATCCGACATGGTAATTTCCACTCGGGGTTGTATGTATTCCAGTAGAAATAAAATATTTTATTATTTACTATATCAAATGGTAGGTTACATGCAATCAGTGTGAAGATTAAATCAAATAAAAATTGAGTCTTCTGGTTTTTGCCAGTTTTTTTATACGTGTGTTGTGCACTGTTTAATATTTATCATTTTATGTTTATTAATATTTATTATAAAAGTTTTTATCCATACACAAGTATGTATATACTGAATTACGTAATTGTTTATATTTTTTTAGTAAATGAATTGTTCGTTATTTAACTTTCCCTATGACCACATCCATTTGAAAAAACAAGTGTTGAGTGTCGCTTTGTTGGATAAATTTACTACTGATAAAGCTGTGGTGCTGACTTGAGTACATAATATATTACTCCTTTATTTTATTAATTTAAAAAAAAAATAAAAATCCAACATTTAAATAGATATTTTCAGAACTCATTATTTTCCTTTACTTTCATAAAATTATTTTCTATTCCAAAAGATATATCTTCGTTTTGTTTTCCACCTGAATAATTTTTTTATGTTAATAATTATTTTATAGCTACTTATTAGTAAATTTGTTTTTTTTTAGTCAGTATAATATGAACTGTTTGCTGTTTTGCACTAACTACGCTCGACATAATTGCACACAATTATCGGTCAAAAGACAATTAAAATCCTAAAAGAAATCGTTCTATTACCTACAGGGAAATCGGCGACTAAACCAAGAGCTAGGCAGCTCGCGTGGCTGACTGACGGCGCCAATGGCTAGCGGACCGATTGTGACAGCTCTAGTGATAAGTTATCCATTTGACATCTATCATCCATACACTGCTTGCTAAATGATTTCACGATGTTTCATCAGTAACTTTTGCCCCATATTATAAATTTCTTTTGACCTTAGTGACCCTGTATACACAATATCCGGAAAATAATGTTATAGACGTCAGTGGCTGATTAAAATAAATAAAAAAGTCCTATACGCTGTAGATTAGGTGATAATTTCACAATGTCGATGACTTTTCCTGAAATCTTTTTTATCACAACGAAAGTGGCTAAATCTCTAGAACTCCCCGCTGAAATGTGTAACATCCTTTTGCGGACACTATATATTTGGTTACAATTGGATTTTAAGTTGGTAAAATCAACTGCATTATTACATATTCAAAATGTATTTATTATACTTACTTCCGGTTAATGTGGGAGTCGATACTGAATCTGGTTTTATGGTTACTAAGGTAATAGATCCATCATTTGCTGTTAATAAAGGTATTTCATTTGTCACTGAATAATTGAAAGAATAGAATGGCTGCTCGAACGAGGGCGAATCAAGACTCAGACTTTCATCCACGGAAATGGTTAATTTTACAGATGCGCTTAGAGCTGGGGCTCCGCTGTCCTATAATAATATTTAAATAAATAAAATAATAATAAATAAATTTTGCTTATTGAAACAAAAAAATTATAGGTAGGCACCATAAAAACGCTCTATATGGCGGCTGTTTATTATTAGTACTTTATTTGCATACTACTAATAAAAAAATCGATATAGATACGTTTATAAAATGAACCTCTCACTTTTTTTATTTCAATTGTTACTAATATATTACGGATAAGGCAGGTATTAATTTAAAGTAAATGAAAAGCAATTGCCTTACAATAAAAAAAAGCAAGATTAAATTTAACGTACCCATTATATTATCATATAAAGGGTGTTTCAGTTCGAGTGAACCAGAAATAGAACTCAAAAAATAATTCAGAATTGCCTTATATAGCAAGGGTCTAAGTCTCACCGTTTTCACTGTACAGGGCCGTATTGGTCCGTTGTTAAAATCATATTATTTACGAAATCTTTGGTATGCTTATAACAAATTGATTCAAATTTGATGTGGTGTTAACATTTGCACATGTGCATAATTTACTGTAAAATTTGAGAAAACAGTGAGACAGTTTGCTTCTTCATTGTTTCAGGCATGTTCAAACTATACAAAAATTGCACATCTTGTAGATGTTTTTAATTGTACCACAAATGAAATTAAAGAAAACACTATAAATATTTTGAGCATGACCTAAATGAGTACAAATGTGTAATTAATAGGTTGTTTGTATATTACTTATACTGCGTATTTTTCTGTCTTCTCCATGTTATTCGTCACATGTTTGTTTTATACTTACTTATTATATAGGTTTAATCTAGTTTTTTTCCTGTATTTCTCTATTTCTCTATATTGTAATTATTCTTTGTACTCCCATTCCGTAACTGGAATTTTGTTTCTGTGGAATGGTGTATCCAAAATAAATAAATAAATAAATAAATAAATAAATAAATAAGGCAATTCTGAATTATTTCTATTCGAGGTTAAAGTTTGATTCACTCGAACTGAAACACCCTATATAGGTAGGTAATAATGAATCTCTCTCACGATATTGTTTTATCTCTTATAATGCATTTTTCAAGACGTAATGACGTAAACTATACCGCTCTAAATAAATTAAAATCGCTAATCAAAGAATTTCAGAATTAAGAAACGAAGAAAATTTAAAAATACCTTTTTTTAATTATGCAAAAAATATTACTGTATTAAAAGTAAACTGGGCAAAAGTTGCGACGAATTAGAAATATTTTCGAAATACCTACTTCCCTATAATTAAGTACTACTCGTTTTGGGAATTTACATGATTTAAATTTTCTTGCTTTAGTAGATTCCTCAAAATTTAGCGAATATGCAAACAAATTTCCCGAAATGTTTATTACAAATGTATCCAAACGTTTTTAAAATAGATAATAATAAAGGCTATTTATTTCCAACAGATAAGAAAACCCAATTACAGGAAACACATAATCAACAATATTTACAATTGAATAATAAAGTAAATAAAATAAATCAGATACATACTTTTAAAGACACGCGTGTTACAGTATACAGGGTGATTAATTAACAATGGGAAAATCGAAAGCTGAAGATACTACACGTGAAATGGTGACCATTGGCGCAAACATGCCTTATCCGAAAGTTGATAGTTTCGGAAATACATGGTGTTGAAAGTTAAAATTTTAAATCGTTTTTTTGCGATTATTCTGAAAATATGTAGGTTAGGAACTTGAAAATTTGTGAAACTATATTTTTTAGGCGACGAATAAGATGCGTGTTGTAATTTCAGCATTTCTCATAGAGGGCACCACTTACGACCAATTTTACAGAAAATTTAATTAATAACTTTTTACCCTGTATGTCTAACATGAAATTTAATTCAAAACCTGAAAGAGCAATCATTTTTCTATTAATGATCTATTCTTGTTTCATTTCGGTATCTCGATCCGTTTTCGAGAAAAATCGATTTAACGATAGTGTTCGTTAAATCGATTTGATAATGCGAGAAATTAAAAGTGAAACAAACCAAATGTTTCTTTGTGTTATTAAACCAATTAACAATAAAACAAATAAAATAGAAATCGCTGCCAACGAAGTCAGACGCAATCCCAATATGTTGTTTCAAACTCGAAGATCTCTCAGAAAACGTGTAAAGTGTATCAGTGTCAACGGTGGATTCTTCGAACAATTACTTTAAATCATAATTACGTATTTTATTTGTTTTATTGAAATATTATACAAGGAAACATACAAATTGTTTTGCCTTGTTTCGACAAAGCTGCAATAAGTGTCTCAGTAGAACGAAACTTTTTGTGTCTGAAGCGCGTTAAGACTTATTACAGGTACCTATTTAAGAAATACGATGACACAAGAGCCCTGCAGCAACTTATCAATGATGGCGATAGAGCCGATAGAAAAACAACTATTGCAAAGTCTTAGTTTCATGAAGACATTATAAGTAAATTTGCAAATTTAAAAATCGGGCGAATAAATCTGTTACATAAACACATTCACTATCTTTCTAAAATATTTTGTAAAAAGTGGAGGTAAACGAAAAGCTGCCGTGTTGTTTTATATGTACTTACATACCTAGATAAGTTGTCTGGCTACCTTATGAAAATATGTTTTTATATTTTTTCATATTTTTTAATATCCTTAAACCAAGTAGAATTTTTTTTTTAATTTTTAGGTAAATATGTCACTTTATTTTATTGTAAATAAAATTTTTAAAGTTTCGATATTATTATTAATAATATAATAATATAATTTTTCAATTTACGTTTATAGTAGGGCTATTGGCGAATTCCTCCATAATAAAAAATTACGGAAATTTGAATGAAAATCCTGCTCGTGAATCAGTTTTTCTATAATATTGTAAATGCAACTAAAAATTTCCAGATGAATTTAATCGTTTGACCTTGAAAATAATTTTTTTTTTCTGTGGCACCATTTTTTCTTTCTTGCCCAGCAGGTCTCATCTATTTAGAATGTCACGAGCCGCCACTGATACAACCTTTCAAAACAAAGTAACCTGTCACTCGCGTAAAACCGTATGAAGAGGATAACAGATTTTATCTTTGAGGACAGGCAGAACAAGTAAACATAAACAGACATTATTACTATGTAAAACGCAACATATAGAAAATTGAATGAAATTAAAATGTCCTTGTTTTTTTTTCTCCTAACACATGCATTGTAGCATACTGGCAATGTGTCATGATAGAAGTTAGCTAATTACTTATAGTGATCATTATAATTGGCAAATATAGAGACTGCTTTACGTTTTGCCTAAAGTTATGAAAATAATTTATATCTAATTATCATATAATTCTTCATATTCGGATTTTTATACTAAAATAGAAACTTCATAAATTTAAAACTTTTAAGCTTTAATATATAAAAAAATATTCTTATATATGATGATTAAAGCCACATAACCAGAAATTTAATAAGGAAAAGAGATTTTCTTAAAATTTGCTTTTAAGAAAATCGTAGCAGAGCAAGTATTACCAACTAAATCGTCGTAATTGATACAACAAATTTAATACCAGCAAATTATTGATCTATGAGTTTCATCTGTACATATTCAGAACAAACCTGAAAAAAATAGGAGTATCTATAGATTTTTTAAAAGTCCTTGCAGAATCAGATTGTTCGAACATGGAGTTTTCGTGATTTAGTTTTAAGTTTTCGTAATGCAGTGCTGTTAACTGCACAGTATTGCACAGAATGATTACAAGCCACGTGACTAGTAATTTTTTTGGAACAGTACTTTTATTTCCTTCATGTTGGCAATTAAATTTCGATAAAATTAAAAATTATTAAAACAATACGACCAGCATCACATTGAAACGCAACATTCTGTTTGATCGGCTGTGATTGGTGCAATTTTACACGAGATAGTATTCAACCAATCAGCGATCGCATTATCTCGAGCGTAGCCGTAACGATTTATCATTGGTCATTATTACTAGTACCAATGGTGCAGTGTTGAGTCATGTGTCTCGTAAACATTTATAAAGGGTCTGTATCCACCTTATTTTCAATAAGATCAATTCACAGACCGACAAAAAAAAATAGATCCGACCTACCATTTTTCCAGACTTTGCTGAAACCAAATTTGGATTGAATATGCAGTTTTATCTGAGTAAATAGAAATATGAAAAATACCGACTCTATCCCGATTTTAATTTAGACGACTGATTTCCTATGTATTTTTTGGTGCTGAACACGAATCTGATGTCCAAACTTGGCCCTTTTTAGGGCAAAAGAGGCAAAACGGGCAAAAACAATTATATCCAAAAAATGAAGTGTAAGGTGTATTTTCTTATCTATTTGTAGGCGCTCAACATAAATTCGCGTCAAAGAAGGGTACTTTGCCCTTCCAAAAGGCAAAAAGGGCAACAACTATTGCCAACCTACGTACGTGGCAAACCTTTAGAAGGGTTTTAACCCTCCTAAGGACCCCTACCAGGTTTTTACCACTTCTATGGTCAGCCACAAACCTTGGCACTAGTTAGGTTAGGTTAGGTTAGGCTATTCTTAAAAAACACTACGAGCTTGAGATTTTTCAATAGAATTGGGTTTTTGCCCTTTTTGCCTTGGAAGAGTAGAGTCCCCTTTTTTAACATCGGATTTATGTTGAACACCCAAAGATACATAGGAAAACACACCTTACACTTTCTTTTTCAATATAATTGTACCATTCGGTACTCTTTTTTTTTTTCGTTTTTTGACCTAATCTAAGAGCTTACTGCCAAGGTTGGCCATCAGATTTGTGTTCAGCACCCAAAAACATATCTATAGGAAATCAGTCATCTAAGTTAAAAAACGGCAGAGACGGTATTCTTCATATTTGCTAAAGGTAGTCTTGAGACGACTGCATATTCAACATACTGCGATTACAAAAAACATAAGCAATGAAAATTTTTTTGCTCTTCAAATTTAGTTTCAGTACATCAAAATATATAAGAAATGATAGGTTTGATCTAAAAATAAAAAAATAAAATGTCGGCCGGTGTTATTTGCTTAAAATGTTCGGTAGTGGTGCTTTTAAGTACGAAGTACTATTTTCGATCTTGTTCAATACACCTATCGATGTAAACTTATCATAATATTTATCAAATCATCTAAGTATTTAACTCAATTTATAGAAATATTTTTTAAATGAGTATATATCAATACTGCTTACTGTTGCTGTTATAGTGTATTCCTGAGTGTCAGTTAACTGGATAACATTTCTAGTAGAAAAAACAGCAGTGTAATTTTTACTGGTACTGGTGCTTTGGGTAGTGATACTGAAGTCATCCGGTTCTATCGTGAAAGTGACATCTTGATTGGAGAAGTCTATGTCGGTTGCTACAATAGAATCTCCGTACACAGTAATGTCTGTCATTGGCATTATTGGTGACGGTACCTTTAACTCGTACGAAGATTTACTGAATTCTGGCTCGTGATTGTTAGTGTCTCTGACTTGAAACTGAATGGTCTGAAATATACATAAAAAAATATCAATTTTATGGCATTAACGTTATCATGATCATATAATTTCATTCTAATAACTTAACAATATCAATTACGTACCTGTGTAGAGTCACTGGTGCAACTCAGCGGACACTCAAGGTTTACGATTATTATCGAGCTGGTAGTTTTATCAGTATTTTTGTCGAAGTCTCCAAATTCCTCCGTACTGTCAATAAGGAAATGAGTTCCATTGGCAGTTACAGAAAAATACGAAAGTCCATAGCTGTTATCTGAGGTACAGGTACCTAACACTGGAATATAAACAGTAACAGTTAAATTTTGATCTAATCCAGCATAGTTAAGGGTTAAGCTAAAAATGTGCGTTTTATGTTTTACCTCTTATATTCTGTACGAAGTATCGAAATAAATAAACTTTATTCTGTTGTAGTAGGTAAGTTTCTCAAGATACTGCATTTAGTCCTATTTTATTTTAAATTTACGTAAATGAATTAATGAATGAAGAAAATTAATATGTTACGCCGATGACACTGTAGTATACATTTTTTAGATAATTCATGGAAAGGACCCCGTACTTTTCTTATGAAAAAGCAGTTAAATTGGCTGAAATTTTTATATGTATGTTACAGCTCTTTATCTGCCGATCAAAAGTCTCTATTGGTGCAATATCTAAAAGTTCATAGTTTTTGAGTTACGTTGACTTCAGTTGACGCAGGGATGTTAAAAATTGACAAGCTTTGCTTCTTATTTACTTGTGCAGATTTTTGAAATGGGCGCCCTGTACCTCTATACATTTCCTTATCTGACGGACGTTTTCTGTTTGTACTTGAAACAACTTTCCAGGATTGTCTCGAATTTCGTTGCAATGGTGTGTTATTCTTTCCCTAGTGTGAATTGGCGTCGAATACACAAGCCTTTTTAAATTTCCCCAAAAAAAGAATTCCAATGGATTAATGTCGGGCGACCTCGGTGGCCATAAAATAGGCCCACCTCGACCTATCAATTGATAACTAAAAGTATTCGTTAAGTGCTGACGAACTAAATTGCTAAAATGGGGCGGTGCACCATCATGCATAAACCACATCTGATTTCTAATTTGTATGGGTACATTTTCTAATAAACTTTGTTGCAAGAATTGCAAATACATGACAAAACAAAACTGAGAATATTAATATTTTTAGGTTAGCTTGGTTTGACGTTTGACTTTTTTACCGCTCGGCGCTCACCGTTCTTGGTTCCTTTCAACCAATCAAAACCCGTAAAGTAAACGCATGCGTATGAATACGCTGGTACGTCGCCCCACTTTTCGGCTTCAAGTCAATTGCAAAATGATCAGTATAGGATAGAAGTATGTGGTTTGACATCGCTTGATCTGCCATTTTATAATATTGTTTGTGACATGTCTAATATCATGTTGCTAGGCAACATTTACCGGCTCTGATACTGTAATAGCTCACTTACCGGCCGCAAATGAATTTACCGGCTCTGATACTGTAATAGCTCACTTACCGGCTGCAAATGAATCCGGGAAATAGCAATATACCGGACGGTATGAAATAAAAAATATTATTAGATTATAGATTCAATCTTTGATCTTTTTAAATAATTAATATAATGAAATCAAATTTTAAAAACATGCCATTCAAGATTATTTTACATGCATAATAAAAATATATTTAAAAATGAATATAGGTATATTTTACAATATCAGTCTTCTACATTCAAAATAATTTCCAGTTGACTTCACCAAAAAAGTAGTTTTACGAATTTTATAAATGTCACTTCTTAGATGTCATGTCATGTCACGTACCTAAAACGTATGACCTTGAAAGTATGAGTGACTATTGGCTATACATACATCCGTGAAGTAAAAATGATCATTACATGCGTGAAGTATTTGCTAAAAAGTGACTAAACCAAGGACGAAGTTAAGGAAGCGAAATCAAATTGTTAAGACGGAAAGTCCTGTGTTTTCATGGTCTCTTAGGTTCGCAAACAAAAATACTTTTTACCAATTTCATATATTGCTTTTATATAACTTACCTAAATTCTCATTTTCGTATTTCCCCGTAAGCAGGTTAGTATTTATTTGAGTATCACTAACTGACAGGATGAGGAAGCTACTAGAAATTCCTTCAATAGTGCAACCTAAAACAGCAAACATAAACAAAATTATTTAAAAATATGTTTCAGTTTAGCGTCCAAATGTCTTTATTGAAATCGCCTTTATAAGTCGTAATCATGTTTCATCTAAAATAATGTAGATGTTATTTGTTGGCGAAACATTGTGACATATTTTTTAGTATATAAAGGAAACATGATTACTAAGCATATAAGCATTAAATGCAATTCCAAAAAAATTATTGACGCAGAAATTTCTTCTGAGGAATAGCAGACGACAAATTCCTACGCCACTGAATTTTTTAAACTTTAAAAAATAAAATATATATTTTTATTTGAAATGCTATTACAAACTAAATAGATACAAATGATTTCCAAAAAACCCACTGGCACGGAAATTCTGAGATTCTTAGTGGCGGTATCTTTGGAAATCTTCGTCACTGGTTGAGATAATGGTATACAAAAGCAGATAAATTTTATCTAATATAAGTTTCATGAATTTTGTTATTCAACCATCTTGCCGGATATTTGCGCAGATATGTTTTTCAAATAAATTTAAGACTGTTTCTCAAAAGCGAATTCTAGAAATTTTCTCCGTTAAAATCGTATTTTTTTTCATTTATCTGACTTGAGTACTGACTTGAAGATTTTCATACGAAAAGTACCTGCTTCAAAAGTAAATTTATAAAGGGCATATATTACATCTTTCTGAAAATACTAGTTTCAAATTATTGCACGAGGTTATATATTTTTTTGTTTATTCTGATTTTGCCCATAGTTACTAATTCTCCGATGATAATAACGATTTTATATTTGCAATGTACATTCCACTTACTGTGATAATAGATTAGATATACGCATCAAAAATAAGAGGCTCTTTATTAAATGAACTATTTGTTTATGATAAAAAAAAAACGAAAAAAATCAGTGTTTAATAAAATTGGATAAATTTGATGCGAAAATCCAGTCCTCTGGTTATAATGTAAATTATCCCTATTATCTCCCTTGTTTTAGTTCTTACAAAAAATGATAACAATAAAGATTTAATACCTATATTTTCTTGTGATTTCAAAATAGTACCTAGACATCCCAAATCAAATTTGTGCTTCTTAGAACATTATTACTGAGGATGACCTGTCTATAATAGTAAGACAGCTATGACTAGTAAGAGAGATGTGACTGATAAATTTGAATATTTAAAAAAAATGCATCATATATTCATAAATTTGCAGATGTCTTCTTATTCGTCACTGACTTTGATGTTAAAACTAACATTGGAGTTCACCAAAATTGGTCGGAGGATCGATTTCAATTTCGATGAGCTCTACTGTCATATTTAAAGTTTTAAATAGCGATAGATGTGGTTAACTTTTGACTTTCATGTCAATTTCTAGTATGGCATTAATCTAAAGTACTAAAAACATGAAAAGAAGAATCAAAAAATGAAGAGAAACAACCGTAAAAACTTGAATTTAATTTGTATAAAATAAATTTAATGATTACAAATAAAGTGTTCCGATTTTTTAAAAAAATTGGTATTAGAGACTGCTTTTTTCTCACATCTTTACAAATAAGTGCATTTTACTCTTGTACCATTTAAAGCTTTTTCAATTTTTTGAACACCCTATACAAGAAATGTTAAATTTTTCTATCCCAATCTTACTTTAAGAATCACCAAAATTTTTTATCAAGAGTAACTTTTTTCAATAAAATGAAAAAGTTTTTCCTATTCAACAGCTTTTCTGTGAACGTACTGTATATACAGGACATTGTTTCCGACGCTCGGGCGCCACTATCTTTGCAGATGCTGGAGGTGACCCTAACAGTTAAAAATTTTGGAGGATTGAAATCAATAGTAGTATGTATGTACCTAATGGGAACTTATATAGAACATTCTTAGAACAAGTAAGAAAAAACAAATTTCCACTACCATCGTACTATCAGTTGATGCCACAAAACGGAAAGTAAACCAATCAACATCGAATATCTAAACTATTTCAAGGATTAGTTTTTAAAAGCGTTCCTTAAATTGCTTTAAAATGCTGTTCCCTGTTATTTAATTTTTTTTATCTTCTTATTTTTGTTTTTGGTGGATCGTAGGAAAAATACACTGAAAGAAATGGGCTTATTAAACTGTTTATCTAGAATAATGTGTATAGCGCATATTAAAACTTTTATAACCAATATACAACTTTTATTAAAAAAAAGCAATCATCTCCAATCTCCATACTCATTAATCAAATAATCAGTTTAACTGGAAGGTGCTTAATACGCCTTATGCATCTATGAAATAAAGGTTATAATGAATTACTTATACATTATTAGGTGTTATAGACTTTATGTTCCAATTGTATAGTAGGGAAGATTTGTTGTATAAAGACCAGTATCCGAATTTGTATATAACAATTGTATTAACAGAATTATTCGTTCTTATACTGAATATGTTTCCGTTTTTAACGTGTAAAACGCATCTTATAATGGTTAAGTGATCGTCACCTCTCGGTGCATAATCGGTTATGATCGTTGTTAAGTTATATTCATAGTCTTGTAATAATAATCATATGTCAGACCCGAGAGCGAAGTGCGCCGACTCAATAAGAAACCTGGCTATTCCAGCCGCTGATTTAGGGTTCGCCGCACGAGCTCATCCCTTCTAAGATTTCAGTAGCATGCTATGCATGAAGCAGAACGGTACTCAACTATCTTATACAGTCCACTTTTATTGTCCATACATGTTCAATCATTGTCAAAATAAACACACAAAACCACAACGTCTTTATTATCTTTACTCAAGAAGAGAAAATACAACAATCGTAAAATTTCCGACAGTCCGCTGTGCATCGACTTACACACGTCTAGTTTGATGAAAATGGACAGTATATGCACATGTTTTGTGGGATACATGATCATATCGCGTTGTGTGAAATGGAAAATTATTATGTAAGTATCTAACTGTTTTATGGCTTGTAATTGTTTTGTTTTTTCAAATGTAAATCTTGTCTAAATCTTAAAAATTATTATTTTGTAGGTCCTATTAGAAATCGCTGATGTTAAGTTTTACATAAGATGGAGGAACAGAAGGTTAACGGTGACAAAGAAGAGCATGGGTATAAAGTCAATCAACCAGAGGAAATAAAATTATATGGAAAGAAGCTCAACCTTTCTGGGGATGCTTCATTCTTAAGGTGGAAGAGTTATAGTGCAAATTCTCATGTAATACAAGAAAATACGGGTGCATCGTTGCTAAGAAAATAAACTGGACAGTTTTGGGAGCGATTTGTCATCATTTTTAATGCTTAAAAGTATGTTTTATGTATGTTTACATTAGAACCTTAGCTTGTAATTACAGTTATCCAATAAAATTTCTGAAAACTTAATGACATATGTTTTTAACTCATACAGAGTATACAACAGTTTATTACATTTATTATTATAAAAATTAATAACCAGTACTAGATGTTCTAATAACGATATGGAACACTTTAATAACAGTTATTGCTATTATTTCGTAAAGGGTATAAAAAACGTTGTATACTAGTTATACAATAATTTAATAAAGAATAAGTAATAAGTTTATAGTCACTATACAACTGTGCTAGCAATACGCGTTTTATATCCAATATTCACCTGTTTAAGTGTCACATATAGTATACAATGGTCTTATAATGGTATATTCTAATATAGAATAAAACGCATTTCTTTCAGTGTACACTGTACAACTCGAGCGGATTGTCCATATCGCAATCGAACTTCATTCTCGTTCGATATGGACATTGTTGTACAAACTTTTATAGTAGATACCTATTTCTTAGATAAATTCAAAAATATCCTTCGTGTAAACCATTACGGTATGTCAATCAATCTTGTTAACATTGAATCTACAATTGCTGTAAAATGAACAGAAAGACATTATTCGTATATCTCCATGTCAAATGTTTATTGGAAGGGTCAAAGAAATGTGCGATATAAAACAAAGCAGGACATGACTTTTACAAAAAGTAGAGTTATACTGACGAAATTGATATATCCAAATAGTTTTGTGGGTGTATACTATAAATTATGCCATATCTTAATAATTGTCACTGCTACTTAAGCGTTGCTTTATATCTAGCAAAGAGTGTTCTACTATAACCTGTAGGTACTATGAAAGCAGTACTAGTGTCGCACTAATCGATATAAAGTTTTTGAGTAATGATATTACGAGAAACAACTACTCTGCGAACTACAGCCGCAATCAGCATTGAATTAATCCAATAGGTAAAAAGCAACTATTTGCGTCAGTAAGTATTGAGGATACCAACATATAAGGTATTCAAATGGTTAGGCAATAATCGATCGTTTCGGCTATGACATTTTCATGAGAAGCAATAAGTTCGAAACCAGTTTATATTTGCTGGTTCTGCTGACTAACGATTTTAGCTATTTAAGGATATAATCTAATGCTGGCTAGGATCATAGTCAGCAGGGTAGTTGTTTTCCATAACATCATCACAAATTATTTTGGTTGAAACAATGAAGGTCTTTTCTTTAATATTTCAAGGTTAGGCTAACGCTAGATTTAGCCCCAAAGTATTCTATCATCGAAGTTAAAATATATAAAGTTGTTGGTCAGTAAACACACTTTAGCCGATAACAAAAATTTCTACTTGACTGGGAGTGGCTTATCATTAGCAAGTATTTAGAATCCTGCTATGAATATGAATTTAGCAATGAATACCAATAAAATTTGCGTTTACTGAAATAAGAAAATGCACCATAAAGTTAGACCATTCCAAACAATACTTCCTCTAGAAACAACAGTCCATAGAACGTAGTTTAGAAGAATATTTTAAAATCTCTAGACTCTAGAGTATTATGAAATCAATAAAACTCTCATTTGTCTCACAAAACTGATATGTCAAATGGAGAATTTCTTTATGGTGATATAAATTGCTCATACTTAAAGCGATGAGCTGTTTGATAAAATTAGAAATAGTTTGTTTTTCCCAACGTTAATAGAGATAATAATTTAAATAATATATCTGATTAACCTCTTGAGCCAGGCTTTATCTTAAGTACGTTGAATTTTCTGCTATAGATATTTCAGTATCAAAAATGATTAATTTCCTAAACTGGAATATAACCGTTTTGTTTTTTCTTGAATGTCTTAATTTTTCAGATCTCAATTGAAGACGATTATGATGAGTTAATGCAGAAAGGAAAACCACAGGAGAAAAATCAGTGTTAATATATTTAAATCCTTTATCAGTAAATCCCCCGTAAAGTAAAACACAGGCATTTGCCATAAAATTGTTTTGTTTTAAATTGCTAATAACAAAGCAAGTGATGAATATAACAGCTAAAGGTATACATAAAAGCAAAACTATCTATTTTATCTAGAACAAATATATCTATTTCTAGAAATCTATGATAGACAGTGAGGATCTCGAAATCAAACGCTTTAAATGATTTGAACAAAAAGTAACATGTTCAAAAACGATTTTTTTTTCTTCGGAATTAGAGGGCAAATATTCAACGGCAAAAAAATAAAACTCATACCCAGCAAATCCTTTTTTACAGATTATGTAAGACCTCTCTCAATTAAAACAAACAGTTTTCACAGAATAAACGTTTCACCGAAAAAGTAATTACAAAGAGAATACATGCAGAGGAAAATAGAAAAATGTCAAGTTACCATCGCGCGTCGTGGGTTTTCGCAATTTTACTCATGAATTTCACAATAGCTCAAGAAGGAAGGAAACATTCTTTACGCTATAACCCCTCCGGATATTGATACCATTAATTCATTTTATTTTCAATGTTACATATAAGCCTATCAGAAAACTATTATTGGATTACGTTTAACTGTTTTGAAGTAACTGCTCTTGGCGTAAAACGCTTATAAATCGTTTTAGGAAAAATATTACTCTTGTTCCTGTGTCGTTTATTGGGCTAAAGTTGGTAGGTACTTTCTATATATTTCCTATTCCTATATATTATTAATTTTTGTGTACTATTTGAATTTTGAGTTATCTCCCACACATCATTAGGTTAATACTGATATTAACGTTCAATATGGTTACATTTCATTGAGAATATTCAATAGTTAGTGTTGCGTGCAGATGTCACTTATTAACTGTGCTAAAATCAAGTTATTCCATTCCATATGTGTAATTTGCAATATCGTAAACGTCTTTAAAAAAATTCTGTGACAAAATTAATTACTATCTTATTATTTATTAAAATTATATAAAAAATCTTACCACTCTGGCCGAGTACCGGTGAATTACTTATAAAAAGTAAATAACAAAAGAGCAGCAGTAATGCCTTCATACTGCTGGGGCATATATTTCACACAAATCACAGCCACCTTAATAGATCATGCACAGTTTACTGAATAAATGTGTCTATCTGATCGACTATTGTTTAGAGAGACTGTTCAATATTTTATCGTTAATCTCTTGATAGATAATTTTTTGATGACTCTCTGTTTAATCGCAATTACACCAATAAATAATAAATAAGTACGCAAAAATGGAAAAAATACCTATTGCTTTTAAATTCATTGTTTTGATAAAATATATCAGGTTATTAAAAATATATTGTGTAAAATTTTAAAGTTACAAAATGTGCCTGAGAGGTATTGAGTTGAGACATATATTTCATATTTCATATTAACAACATTTTACGAAAACTATTGAAATATATAGGGTGCAGTAAAATGTTTGAACAAATTGTCAACGTTATTAATAATCAGAATTTGAGATTTTTTGGCGAAAAAACAGAGTCCTGTGGTTCGACAGGCTCCTTACTCTCCTGATATGCCCTCCTGCGACTTCTGGCTGTTCCCCAAACTCAAGAGGTCATTGAAAGGAAACCGATTTCACACAAAAGAGGACATTATGGTTGCAACGACAACCGAGTTAAATGTTGGAAGCATCCCGAAGGAGACCTTCTCGGAATGCTTCCAACAATGGCAACACCGCTGGGAGAAGTGTGTGGAGAGACTACGTCGAGAGTGATTAGGTTTCGAACGCTCCAGGTATGCAAGTTTTTTTTTCTTCAGCCAAAGGTCGGATACTTTTCAAACAGACCTCGTATCAAGGGCTTCAAGTCAGACTGGCGTACTAACAATTTTTGCCAAAATTGTGTTATTTGGCGTATAAATTGGTTACGATGATTCTCACATCAGGTTATACAGGCGTATGATTTAGGCGCGCCATTATTACACAATGTCACAAATTGTTTTGGCGTACAAACCAAATACGTATATGGAATCAAGTCAGAGAGGGATGTGTCTATACGCCTCATTTATCATACTCAAGCTAGTCGTCAGATAAGTGTATGAGCATACGCCAGTTCTAGTGTTCAAATCTCGGACGGGTCAAAAAGGCGTGTAGTTGTGAAAGTGAGGTTATACCTCACTTTCTCCCTGAAGAAGAGAAACTCAGGCATGGCATATACAACAACGTCAAATAAAATCAGACCAGGACGAATATCAGGAAATTTAGGAGCAGAATGTAAATGTTTACCCAAATGCCACCTTGCAATACCTGATGAAGGTAAATCACAAATTTGCAGTGCTTTCTGCAAACTAGGCGATTTGAATAGTGATTTTATTGTGAGAAATGTTATACGTCAAAAGTCGTGCAGTAAATTCAAGAAGGCAGTTTTCACTTACGCACTTTTTAAAACTTAATTACAAGAAAAATCAAATTTGCAAACAGTTTTTTTTACAAACACTGGATATCTCTGAAAAGATGGTGGGAACGGCTTTAGAAAAAGCGCACTGCGATATAGCTGAAACTTCTTCTCCCAATAATCGCGGCAAGCACATTCCAGGAGTGAAACATAACGACAATGTAATTAAATTTGCTGAAAACCATATCGATTCATTCCCACGTGTGCCGGTACATTGGTAGAAAGACAGCTGCAATTGAAGAAAAGAAGCGCGATGCTCTAAAGGCTAAAACAGACAGCAGCTATGTTTCAGCAAATTTCGATCTGGAAGCTGCTTTCACTTGCTATTACTATTGGCTAAGCCCGTAAATGGTCTATGCTTAATTATGTTTTAAGTGAATAAGTATTTTATTATTATTCATACGCCCATAATTTCCAAGAAACAATTTGCCAATGTCTAGCTAGACAGAAAGGCATATATACAAAATACAAAAAACAACAATTTCTTTATTATTTCTGGTTACCTGTGTTGGATTGCATCTTTTCAAATAGTATATTCTCAAAATTTCGCAAGCCTGTCTTAAAAACCTCAATTTTGAAACGTTTTTTTCGTTTCTGTACAATTCGCAAAATGGTTAATACGCCAGTCTGACTTAAACTCTCGATATATATCAAATTGTTGCAACTTACACAGTTATTTTAGCTACTTAGATTGAGGTTAATTATTAACGTTAATATTTGTGCGTCACAAGAGAAGTATTGAAAACTAACGGGTGTTGTTCAGTATAGTTGCGGATTTCATCGTTCAGTTGTCTTCGAAACTCGCACTTCCACATCTCGATAACTTCGTAAATAAGATCTTTTAGTCTTTGTATCTTTGCGACAGCTGCCTCGTACCGAGTGTTTAATGTCTGAGAAGGGTCTTCGGGTAACGTTCAAATCAAACATTTGTCTGATACACAGATATAGTTGTTTACATATTAATGGCATAATTTTAATCTGTTCATTTTGGTAATTTGCTACCTGCAAAAAAGATTAATATTGTTTCTATTTTATGTCTCTTTAAAACCCTGCTTATTTTATCGGTAGTTCCTATGACGTATTGCAGGAGAGCTTTAGTAGATTAGTTAGGCGGGTTCTGCAGCGGAAGTGACGTCACATGGTCAGTGTCCATCGAGTTCGACAAGATGGCGGCAGTCTGCGTAGGGATAAGATGGCTGCGGTCTGCAGCGGATGTGACGTCACAAGATGGCGGCGTAAGATGGGTGCGGTCTGCAGCGGATGTGACGTCACGGGGGGCGGTTACCTG